TTAGTTGTATAGCTTGGCTAGATGTTTGGCTAAATTGTATAGCTTGGCTAAATTTATTACCCAAAATTGTGTTTTTTTTACATGCTTGTGATATAAAGAGTTTTAGATTATGAAACCTAATATTGTGTAAAATTATTGTCAGGAGAAATATATTTTTTAATGAGTTCATATCATTGAAAGAGAAAGAACTCTCAGTCTTCCTCTAATGACAAGGAAAAATTTTTACTCATAGTATTGATCATTATAAGATTAATGATGCGAAAAAAAAAAATCCAATACATATGAAGCAAATTACTTCAGAGCAGCAATTAGAGAAACAATCAATCATTTGTGAGCCTACATCAAAATATAGAGAGGAAGAAAAATTGTGTACAAGGAGATCATCGCATTGGAATTTATGGCTCCTTCAAGATAAGGATTATGTGCTGATTCATACATGTTTGAAGATCATGATATCAATAGAGAATATCATGATGATATTGCATTGATCTTGGAAGAGTAAGACCTTCTTCATGTAAAAGAGCTCAAGTTTATGTCAATAAACTTGAGTGAATTGCTACTACGAAGCGTGCAATGATGGATAACAAAATCCTGGAGCTAATGAAGCTATAAAGAAACTAAGCTTTGATTGATTGCAATTGAATGTATAAATTGAAAGACTATCCAACAGATTACGATAAAACTATTTTCAAAGCTAGATTGGTGACTAAAGTTTTCACAGAAGAGTAGATTAATATGATCTACAACGAATTATTTTCACCTAAAACAAAATATGCTACAATTTATTTATTATGTGCATTTACTGCAAAATTTAGTCTGATTATGAATCAGATGAATGTAATCACAAAATTTTTTACGGATTGTGATCGATTCACCTGAAACAAGTAGTTTATATGACAAGAAAGATTAAGAAAAACTTTTTTGTAGATTAATAAGACCATTATATGAATTTAAGCAAACTCCTAAATAGTGATTTGTGAGATTTTATGAGTTTACGAAAGCACAAGCTTTTTTACGAAGTGTGTATGATCATTGTATATACATTAAAAAGGTAAATAATGAGATATTTAATCTTATTATTTTAGTAATATACGTGGTTGACATGCTCATCTTGACAAAAAATCTATCATATGTTGACAAATGCAATAACTAGCAAAATTTTCAAGATATTCAAATGCACTCAAGATAAAAAATTTGAGAATGTCCAAGAGTAGTAGGGATGTATATCCATAGGAATTTGATGTAAAAATGACTATGATTTAGTCAAGTCAAGTACGTTAATATGTAATTGACAATTTTAATATGGCAAATTTCAAAGAAGTATGAATTACTTTGGTAACACATTTCAAACTTTCTCTAGCTCACTATCCAATCAAAATCATTGAAAAGAAAAAAATGTCGTGAATTTCTTATGACAAAATTATTTATAACCTCAAATATTTGATGTTATGCACAAGGTTTGATATTGGGTTTGATACAAGTGATGGGCAAGGTGAGAAGCCACATGTCGAATCCAAGGAAAGTATATTAGAGAAAAGTGAAATGGATTTTGGCAATACCTAAAGAATACTAAGGATATGGTTTTTTTTTTAATGGATTATAAGACAATGACAAAATTTTGCAAGATTACATTGAATAATGGACAAGAGAAAATCTATAGTTTGGTATATATTTACACTTGATGGTAGATGCATTATTTAGAGATCTAATCAACTGAACATTTAACTAGTTTCAAAAAATTTTGAAAAACAAAGATGAGAAGAAAGTTGTTCAATATGATTTTGAAAAGAAAATCTTTTAGTCACAAGACAAGTATTGGTATGAATACTTCTAAAAAAGGAATTGACTCAAATGTGATATCTTTAAAACATTGTTTGAGAAGCTTCTCTAAACATATCATACTATGACTTCACTCCAACATTGTTTACTATCAAGTTGATGACACAAAGACTAACAACTACTATATATTTGGACTCTAGAACAGATGAAGTTTGAAATAAAACATTATTTTGATATTTTAGATATATATATATATATATATATATATATATATATATATACATGATTCTTATATACTACATTTTTGGTTTACAAGTACTAGAGACTCAAGTAAAACAAACTCTTATATTATCGTCTTTAGAAATCCATCATGCAAGTATGAGAGTTTAAAAGCTTGGTTCCGAAGTTATATTCATGACAATATTACAAGAATCAATTATAGTAATATCATTGTACACTTGCACCTCCCGGTTTATTTGGCTAGAAATACTAGCATTAGCTTCGGCAGGTCGGGAACAAAAAGTGCTCCACGTGAATGAATCCGTGGATAAGGAAGGTCCCGTTCTGATCATCGGTGGGAATCTTAGGGATATTGATATGGCCAGCAGCCGAGGCATATAAAGCAAGACAGACACGAAAGGGTCCCACAGATGAGAATGTCAAAGAAGCTGAAGAGGACGTCTTGACATAAGGTCGTGAGATGTCTTACATATCATGGCAAGTCCTTGTGGTTTGTTCAGCAACTATATTTCTCATGCTTCATGCTTTCGAAATACAGCCAACGCAGTTTCTCGGCCTTAGCTACAGTATTATTCTCCTCCTCTGGTTCCTCGTGGGAGCTGAATCCTCCTGAGCTCCAGGATAATAAAACTCGATTCAGTCCAAGGGTCCTACACTGCTGTTACGTCGTCCTCTTCCAAGCGCTACGGGTGGTATATTGTTATGACATTGAAAAGCTTGACAGATCCGTAGTGCATACTGTTTCAGAGATAGTGCTGAAGCAGTACATTTTCTAGTTTGGTGATTATCCGCCTTTCTACATTTCTACGACCCAGGGTTCTCGGTTGGATATCAGTTGAATGTCAGGATGATGCTCTTTACGACAATACGGCTGATAGATATGCAATCCACTGAAGCTCCGCTACGACTTACGATAAAAAGACGCAATTCTGAACAGCTCTCATCTCCGTCATCCAGGAGCGTTTAAATCCCAGAAGAAACCCCTCCGTGAAGGAGAGCCCTTCACAATCGTCAAAAGCGAACCGCATGACCGCAAGCTCCAGAGTCAGCCAGACAAAACCAGCGCCACAAAGTTAATTACAGTGCCCATCAGCGGCATTGAGTCCAACTCTAATGATGGGGTCAAGAGAGTAATCATCCCTGTCTCTTCCACTTATCCGGCAGAATGAGCGCATTTCGTCATCCTGTTACCATGGATGCACAGGAGCCAAATTGCTGCCAAGAACAGTCGTGATCGGTGGAGTTTAGACTGTTCGGAGCCTCATCAGTTGCAGCTGGGTGCTTCATTCCCAAGTCCCCTTGCTCAGGTTTAATAGCTCACCCCATGGTGGGCCTTATCCTCGGAATACTTGTTGGCCGATCCTATCGTACGTTGCCACGAGGTCACTCGTTGTGGGCGTACAGGACAGTGATCGCGGGCGAAGCTAAATTGTCTTTCACTATTGTTCACTATTGTCATTCTCCTGTTCTCTTCCGCGAACCACGGAGGTCTCACCAATTGCTACAGTATCCTAGCAAATGCCCGTGAATATTCTCTCGCTCGGGGGGAGGGCGAATTCGGATCTGCGAGTCAACGCTTCCTCCAGCGATAAGAGATGGATTCGAGGAGAGCACTCAAATCTTGCACGATCGGAATACTAAACACTCAAATAACTGAATCCAGTTATGCGTTGTTTCAGCTAAATTCGAAAGCAGGCAACACTCTTCCTGGTAAGCCCTCTCACCGAGTACATCCTTTTGACTGAACTGTTCGGAGCATTGTCAACAGACAAAGGATTACAAAAGTCTGTTGTTTGCAGGTGGGTAGCTCTTACGAGGTTCTTCTCTAGGTCAAGGGCTTCACGTCTGTAGAAACGTATGAAGATATCCCATTAGAATTTAGAATTGGCTGCAAGAATTTGGACTAACGAGCGTCACTATGATATCTGGTCAACGTTGTTTACGAATGAAAGAGAAGAATTTGAAGTACCAGCAGCATCCAGACGGGTACTTCCCATGCTTTTCGTGATAAATTTTTCGGTGTACGAAGTCAGTATCAAAGCAGCACTTACCTCTTGTCAACTAGCAGGATTCAGAACGCAGTAAGGTTGAGACACATCCGTAGGAGGCTAATTATAAGAAGAGCTGCGTTTTGCGTGTGCCCCCTCCAACTACTCAGCTTCTTCTGGAGAGGCAAAAGTAAAAGTGACGGTGAAAGTCAGAACGTAAAAAACTCTTTCTTCGGGTGATGGAATCTAACTGTTTCACCAAATTAAGCGTGCCGTGCACACACTCTGAGTATTGTGAAAAACTCTGTCGCGCCACAACAATTTATGGCATTTGAAGAATGAACGGTCAGTTTGTGAAAAAACTCCCCCCTTCTACAATGTCTTTATACATTGTTCTAGAGTATGCTATTCTGATGTTATTGAATCTCTGATTTCACCGGCCAAAAAGTACACGGTGCATGATGGTGTTTGTTAGCATGACTTGGGCTTGATTCGTGAGCAAGGCTTCACTTTTTAAGAATGTGCTGTCATAATTCCTCGTTATCCCCGACACTATGATGATAAAGACCTACGGCGCACTTTTTCGAACATATTCTTTGTTTTTCAATGAGTGGTAAGTGATCGATGGAAAGAACCCGTATCTCAAAATTCAACCTTTTCAAGGATTATCCAACATAAATCCACTATCCAGCTATGAAGATGATTGTGGCCAAATTAAACTGCGACCACTCTTCGATTCTCGAGTATGGTACCGTACCGTTCAGGTCTTCTCCTCTACCACAGCTCTCAGGTTTGAGACTTCCTTTCACTTGGCCATAAGTAGAATGGCCGTTAGTTATTGCAATACGCGAAACTCCTGACGATGAATTTCGCCTGAAGTCACAAGTTTTGCCAAAAGTTCTACTTTACTGTGGTAGCCCACGCCCACGTGAAGTGACGAATGCTTGACACCATCATCATCTGATGGGAGACTTTTTGTGTCCAGGATGTATTCTTTTCTGTCTTGATACAGACATGAACTCGACGACGATGTGGCCCAAGGATACTTACACTATTTAGTCTCCGTCCTGGAACCCTCCAGAAGATAGGAACTGACGAGACGTCTCGCAAAGCATGACACATATATAGAATACATATATGTACTTCCTCCGGGACATACACATCTGTACGTCCCGGAGGAAGAAGAGATCCCACTCACTATATTTTGTCTAGAAAGAATTCACTAGACTGGAATTGAACACAGCTGTCATAGTACGGCATACACATCTGTAGGACTCTTACGGTACCGTAGAAAGACGAAAGCAATGGGCGGATCATGGGGCTACAACCTCAGTCAAATTAGCATACCATGCGTAGGCCTTGATGAGATCAAAGTGTGGGTCCTGGGGAGGCAAAATCTGTGGCTGCAACATGCACACCTGGAGTTTGGAAATGGACAGATAACTTTGAGGTATCGAAAATGAAGAACATCGAACATCAATATCTACAGTGTACTACTTGTCTCTTGATAGACGCCCAAGAACTCTAGTGTGTTCGGAAATGGGCTCTGCGTTCGTCTTCACAGTACATACCTCTGTGTGCTTCGCCGCTGCAGGACAAGAGAGGATTTAAGGAGATCCCTCGCTGTGTACGAGGCTCATCGGAATTGCAAAAGCAATGACATAGACAATAGGAGCACGGCCTTGTACCGTAAGACAGGTAATTTTGCATCATTCATGGTCATAAACCACCATGATTAGCACATATGCTGCACGCTAATCTGTCCTCTGCCGCTTCGATGTGTCATGACTTTTGTTATTCCTGTTTATCCAAACAAGGCGTTGTTGGACATCGCTGCCTCGTCTTGTGAGTCCCAAAAGCTGGACGCATCAACACACAGGACAGATTAGCATTGCTCGGAAAATAGAAACCATACAGCTGCATGTGGTCTCGTAGGAGGTCTCATTTGTTCGCGAAGCACGAAAAGTACATAGAAGAGCATGTGCAAGTTTGTTCATAGAAAATCTAAAGAAGCTGGTCAATCGACATAGAGCCTTAGAAGTGTCAGCACACGAAATCTAGCAGTAAAGTTCTATCGGCCTCAAAGATGAAAAACCTGCGAGTTTACCTTCTTTGATTTCTTATCAGCTGGAACGTAGCTGCGGACTAGAGACGACCGAGGGGTGCACAAATTTCTTTCTTTGTCACGAGGATAATTCTTCGAAAACCTTGGTGCTGTCTTCGAGCTCCTCGATATCTTCGAATCTTGAGCTTGGTATCGAAACCTATCCAGCGAAGTTTGTGATAGCTGTTTTTTACTGGCAGGTTTGGAACTGCACGGTGACGATGGGATTGAGGATTGAGGTTTTCCATTCTGGCTGCCTTGCTTGTCCGTAGAAATAAAAAAGTCCTCAAAAGCTGAAAACGTATTTGGAGTCAGAGGACTTTCGCTGTCAACACTTCCAGTAGATTGTTCGATGTTCTTGTCGTTCGTGCTGTAAAACATTCTTCTGCCGCTTCCATCTTCACCCCAGGTGCTTAGAGAAGTTCCCAACTTGTGACGAGACGGTACGAACCTACCCTCTTCACGATGCGTTGGTTGAAGGAAGGATAAGATGTCATCAAATGGAGTAGAAAGTCCGACCGGTTCTTCCTCTGACCGGAATGACTCTTGATCCACAAATTCGTGAGATCGATGGCCAACATTGTTGCACTTTGGAGGCAAGTAATCTTCCTTGAGTTCAAAGTCCATAGCTGTCGGCTTCGGGTCTCCGGTTACTTCAGACGCAGGAGGAAACTCACGAAAAAGAGTTGTTTCAGAAAACGACACAGTTTTCCTTGATTTCTCCATTCGAGCGTCACCGTCTTCTTCAAAGATATTTGGTAACTCAAGATTTCTTCTCCAAGATTCAAAGTCCTTCTCACGGTCAGACAGGGGACTGTAAATGTCAAGATCTATGTCTGGCTCTTTATAAGTTAGGAGATTTGTAATCCCAGTAAAATCGCTTGTAAGAGGGACATTTCTCTGACGATCCGACATCCCAACGTCTTTCAGATCATCATGTGTAACCTTCTTTTGGTTGGTCTGGGAGGAAATTCGCAGCCAATTTGAGCGATCAGGAGTACCAACCTCTCTGAAAACGCACTGAGCCTTAAACAGCTCCAAGCTGTGCTTCGGAACACCAAAACCCTCTACAAGAGCAAATTGTTGGTCGAGGGTCACTGAGAAGAATGTCCTCAGTGGGCAACCGGAGGAAAGTACAGCATGAGCGGTCAGCGGATTTACAGACGGAAACTCTGTCAAGAAGGCTTCGGCTATGGTTGGTGCCTCAGTCATGGCCGGATATGCTTCCAAGAGCTTAGACTGGCGGGCAGCCTCGATACTCTTCATGACGATCTTGTCTGTGACTTCCAACCCGTCTGATGTAAACCACTGAACATGCAGACCAAAAAAAATTGCAATAGCCTGAATGTCACATAAAACATCCAGAACTGCTGACGTGAAATCTGTGGGCCCTTCGAAAATCTGGATTCCACCAAAAGGAGTATCATACATCATATATTGCTCCGGTCTACAAGTCAACGCTCGAGCATATAAGCTGAGAAGGTCTACTTGTCATCCATAAATGAGGGACGAAGGTTATTCAATGTAACAATGAGCTTTGTATTTTTAACTGAGGTATGTTTTCGAGTCCAACTTACCAGTATGCAATTTTGGTAGGAAAAACTGATTGCTTTCAGGATCGTCTCGATCTCATTGCGTAGTGAGATCTGTTTGCTGTCGACTTTCTGCACCAGCTTCTGAAGAATTTGCCATGTATATATGACGAGACAAGTCGCAGGGCTCAGCACAAGGTCGACAGGTAGTCGGAACTCTCTCTCTACGAATTGTATGTTGTTTTTTTCAAGACACAGAATCTTCTGATATAAGCCCCTTCTTTCTGCCAGCTTGTGCTCACTTTGTTCAGAAACGTTGGCAACAATGGTCATGTCACATTCTCTCCTTGTAGGTTGACCGCTTTCGTTAGAATTTCTGTTGTCCTGGGTAACGTATCCATTTATGGATGAACACGGTGTTGCCTCCACTTTGACATTGCAGGCTGTAACGTCGTTTGCATTTGGTGATACTTCTGACATTTTGGCTAAACCTGAATCTGACTGATAAGGAGAATTGTCGGTCGGTTCGAGGATCTTCAAAATCTTCTCAGACAAGCGATCCTGAGAGATCACAAATATGCAAGAATGATTTGTCAAAACGTGAGCAATTCAGGTTCATTTAAAGGGGAGTAATCCTCATCGATTTCACAATCAGTCCGTTGGGATAAGAATACATGTATGTTTTTCTCATTCTGCTAGGAGACGCTAATCAATCGCGTTGCCAGCTCATCAGGTTCTTTTTACATCAGGCTCTTATGGTATTTCAACAATACAGTATACAAAGGTGTGACTTTCTTTGGTGATCTGTCACAAGAAGGATGCATCTACATCCTGGCTGAAGTCAAGATGCAGCAGGGGCTCCTGGTCATTTCTGGGAATAGGTTCGGAGAAAAAATATCGTGATCAAGCACTCACAGCTCATATCTACTTTCTGTACGAAAGAATGGTTTCGGTCCATTGGAAGAGAGAATCTAGAGCAGAACCGCAAACACAGTACTTCCGTCAGCATATGTAGTCAACAATCGTTCTGAAGAGAGGAACCAATGGTCTGTTATTGGCTAATGGTTTTTCTCCAGGTCCTCGTGAGATGGGGATAAGTTTTACTCTATGACGCTTGGCCCGGCAGAGGCATTGAAATATGAAGAAGATTTCGACACCATGTTTACGGTCGTCCATCAGGAGAAAATGGCACTTAAACCATCTTACTTGCACTTGTGCTATAGAAAAGGATCACTCATTCATCCACTTACAGTCTCCTAGGTGACTAAAGGTTTCTAGAGACAGGTGACACATCCTGAACGCTATTTGAGAATTTCGAAGATGAACACTGAAGTCAAAAAAGACCGAAATTAATGATGGGGAGGTAGAAAAATACAATCAATACCTGCGCTTGGTGGTTCCCGTCATCCGCGATAGGAGCTGTTCCGTGGATAATCGCAAATTTCACTTCATCAGGATACAGATGAACCTCTAAAATGTGTTGCTCACAATTTCCCCTCCTCAAGACATCTTCAACTGACGCATCGTTTGCACAACCCGCGTACTGTATGACCATTGTAAAATTTTCTATTGGGAAGGAGTCTGTAATGTATCTGCAAACAGATCAAGACTTGTTGAGAGAGGGTGTTGAAACCAAAACATGTTTATGTTGGGTCAAAGTAAAGTTTGTCTCACAACCACTCTGGACACACACATGAGTTTACATCGCCTGTTATTAAAATTTTACAGATAATTCTTTATGAAACTATGAGTGAAGGAGAGAACAATGAAGGAAACTTCATAGAACAACTGGTTTTGATGAATCCTCTAAGAAATTTTTTGAGTGTTTTCAACCCAGCCAAGTTGGAAACAACCCAGATAGTCACTTCAAAGCATGGCATGTATATTTCGTATGAACAGAATAGATGAGCGATAGAAGTGGTGACCAATGACAGAACCAATGAGAGCACAACGAGTAAGCACTTACGCGCAAGGAACAAGAAGACAGTTGGAGAATCGTAACGAGTCATTAATTTCTTCTGTCAGCTTCGTCTTGAAGTCCGGATGGAGTTTTCCTCTCAGGAGATACTGTTCTTTACGATCAATTTGATAGGGATTGCAGCCTGATGACAGGAGCTTTCTGAAAAGAGTAAAAAATGCTCTTCTGTCAGCGACCAATAGAATTTTATGGGATGGCCCTCGCTCTTTCAGTATCTTTTCAAGATGCTCCAACTTTGGATGATCTTGGTATATCCCTCTCTCAACTTTGTTATATGCATCTTCAAGCTCAACTCGAGAATTTAGAATCAGTTCTTCTAGGAAGCTGATTCTATGAAAAAGATTTTCCAGGTATAGATGGGCTACCTGTATACCGTAGGTGCATAGATTAAGAGCAGTATATCGTAAAGCATGGAGGGCGGTCAAACCTCTCAACAGAAGTTGCCTGCCTTGAGTGGGCGGTTCGGAGGCTGATCTTTTCATAAGATTCATAATTAAGGAATTGCCTTGGCTATCATAACCGAGTTGCCCTGGAACGTCAAGCTTTTCTATTGTTTCTTTCCCAAATATATCCTGAACAACCAAGAGTCCGCGGTAATCTGTCGCAAGTGTAGTCATCAGGTTTCGGATCTCCTTAGACAACAATACCGTGTGCTCATGAGGACCAAATATTGAATATTGTTTCCCCTCATCATCAAACCGGGCTGTGGCATGAGGAACCGATACGACCTGTTCCATCATCTCTTGTGGCTTATTGTCAGAGTTCTGATAATTGTCGACAACATCGTTATCTCGACATACACCTTTTCTTGCCTGAACAAAGAATGCCAAATCATCTAACGTAGATATAGACCCAGGTCCTTTCTCACTTGGGCTTCTCGTTTCTCTCAGCGCCCTCGGCTGGGTTGTGAGGTCTTCCTCTCTCAATACGACCTCAGCGATAGGGTAGATCGAGTGAGAGGTTTGAAGAGTGTCTCCACTTTCTCGCAATGTCCTGCCCTGACATGAAGTTTTTCCAGCGGAAGAGTCGGTCTGCATCGCAGGGATCTTCAAATGTCTCGCTTCTAGATTCGCCTCTAGCGTGCGCGATTGCAATCTGTTCTCGTACATTCTTTGCTTTTCATCTCGTGTCCTGATATTTTGCCAGAGTCTCGTAGATTCGTCCTCTCCATCCTCATTGAGCACTGAGGCTTGGCGCGCAGAGTCTATCACATCTGTCTCGTCCCCAGTCGTTTTCTCGTGGGAAGTGCCAAGTATATCGCAATTAGAATCATCCTCTAATCGAACTAGCTTGAGGGCAATTTTGGACCAATGTGTGGAAGAACTCATCCTGATGGTGGTGAAGCCACAGGTTGGTTCATAGCTCTCTTTCAACTTCGCGTGTTGCTTAAAGCATGCAGCATCGTTGCAGGCCATGCCATGCGCTAAATGCCAATCTAAGTAGAGCCAGTCAGTTGCTGTCTCAGGGGCCAGACTGCAGTTCAGAGACACGCATTTTATAACGGATTCAAGAAGTGCGTCCATCGACAATTCGGTGATTGAAGGTGTAGGAAGAGACTGAAACTGTTGGTCATCTAACTTCAGCTCAGGCATTACAATCAAGCTTTCGAAGCAGTCTGCAGACAGTCCGTCCGGGAGAGTTTCCAATGGCATAATTGCTGGAGAAATATCATTAGCGCAAGTAGTAGGATATGCACATGAGGGGAAGAAAAACAAAGGTAGTTCAAAGCTACGAATTACTCTGTCTGGCTTTGATGTTTCATGAATGCTGGAGCAAGAATGAATTTCAGTAATGATTTCTTTGTCCAAGATATCACGAATAGACTGATTTGGGCAGGGTAGCAGGCTATCATACTCAATTCTCGAGATATAGAGCTTTGTCATGACCACCAAGTCAACGGGTAAGTCAAAAGCAGTCTCTCTTTCAACAGGGCTGTGATGGGGTGCGATATAATCCAGAATGGACGTATGAAGAAAAGAGGTCAGCTTTTCAAGACCCTCGTGATTTGAAGGAGGATACTCACACTCCAGCATCTCTGTGGGTTCAAAAATTTCCAAAAGTTTTGTCTCCAAGTTATCATCGTGTTTGGGGTAAAATTCACCGCATGGATTGTAACTCCACATCAATTCAGAAATAGTTTTGACCTTTTCCTGATACACCCCAAAATCACGATATCAGAAGTTGTAAGAAGCGCATGGCTAGCTAGTATCACAACGCATCAAATAATCGAATAACTTAAACACTTGAAAGATATGACTTCCCCATGTAGACAAAAGTATCACCTTGGGTTTATAATGTGATTTGTCGTCAAATTCTGAGAAGTGTTTAGAAGTAGAAATGCCGAACCAGCTCTGTCAAAATGAATAGTCAAGATCCAATTAAAATGCTCAGTCTACAGCAGAGACTTTTGATTTCTATCTAACAAAACTCTTGACTATTTTGAAACTTTAAGCTCGATTCATGCTCACTGGGGGAGGTAACAAAGACATTTCTAAACTTTGATGCAAGAGAAATGTGACGATTCGCGGTAATGTACTCATAATTGATCGAGTAAGAGAAAATTGAAGATTAATCTCTAAGTGAGGAGAAGAATGAATTCCACCTCCAGAATATTGAGCTCAATGCCGGGTTCTTGTACAGTTCTTGATTGCTTACAATCAAGCGCTGATAGGACTTCAGACAAATCCTGGAATGAGAATTCGTTAGCTTTGGTTACAGGAGACAATGACCACTGACTCCTTAAACATGATACATACTCAAATCTAGTGATTTAGCGACACATTGAACGAATGCACTGAACTCCACCTCCATGTGGTTAGAGAACTGAGTAAGAGACGCTATGCACCAAGATTTAGACTGATAAAGAACCACGTTAACGTGAGAAGAACCACTTGCTGGTTTCGGAAGGTATCCTCTGTCCTGAATATCGGTCTCATAAAAGTTTGCTCAATGTAGACCGTCATCAAGAATGGGAAAATTTCTCTTTAAATGTCTCGTCAATTTGCCAAAAAATTGAGTGAAAGGCTCCTCCTGGAACTTCAAACTGTCAACTTATCTCTCATTTTATTTCAATAAGTCAATTAGAATGTTAATAAGTCGGAGGTGAGTTTACATCCATCTGAGTTCCGTGGTACATGTGCACTGTGGTACAACATGTAATCATTCTCAAAGTTCGAAAATGTAGTAAGACGAGGTACATACATAGTTCTGGATATATTCTTGAAGAAGTGGCACGTCCAAGGACTTGATGGTACGCGTCAATTTTCGATTGTCCAATCCCTTATTATGATTGGGAGCCAGACCACTTTCCTCATGCATATTTGCCTGTAGATGATCCCCGAGCTTTATCACGTGAACACCATTTCTGGAATCTGATACACTGAAATGCATTGTCTGAAACCCTTCAATCAGATGCTGGTTTGGGGCTTCAGCTTGATGGCAAGAAGGCAATGTTGAAGGCACTTGATCTGCTGTTAGGCCAGCGGAATGTACATCACGATGTTCAATCTTCTGTGGAAATACGTCAGCCAAGAACCTTTCTTTCATAGTTTTTCTCGACGTTATCTTTCAAATAACAAGGGAAACTTCCTGTAGAAAGACATCACGATAAGTAAAAAGTAGCTGGATCAGAGATTCCTGTCGATGTTCCGGTCATGATAAGGAGAGAAGATTCTCCTTTCTTGATTATTTGTTGCTTCAACGAAGATATAAACAAGTAGGCCCAGAGCTTGTTCGCAGCCGATAAGAAATCGACGAGAAGACATTAAAACTTCTGTCGATGGTCGAAGACAGTCATGGAGAATTTAAGTGTTCAGCTGGTCAAATTCAACGCCTCGTTTGACACGAGACTAAACTTTGCATCATCCTCTGCACAATCTGCAACAGTTCACATCCAATCTGCATCAAGATAATATGTCGGCCTAGTTTTTCAACCATAAGAAGCACTCACTGGTAAAGAAATTCTGAATTGTATTTCCCTTGTATAAACTATGTGATTTCAATTTTGAAATCACATAGTTAATTTTGAAACACTATCCCGACACCGATGCAATATTTGGCAGCAATTGACTTCCTTTGAACATTCGCAATCTGAACACTCAAAGGTTGTTCCAAACGTTGAATATCCATAGCATTTGTATAGATAGATCTATGTAAGTCTTATTTGAAGGCTCAGGTCCTCAGACTGTGCACTGAAAATTCAGTGATTAGTCATGTACGGATAGATGTATATAACCTTTATACCATATCCCATACGTTTGTGAGAAGAAATGGACTATGAATCTCTAATTACTGTTAGCTTCACTTCCTAGTTCATCAACGAAAAATGAAAGAGTGACACCCAACTGGTCAAATCAGAAACCATCTCAATCGTGTCCAGTACATGCCTTACCAGCTTCGATAGCCCCAAAGCATAAACTCTTCAGCAACTTTGGAAAATCTGAACGAACATCACGTCACGTCAGAGACGGGTAGACAATCCAAACTCATGAAACAAATATATGGTGTAAATTTTAGAAGAGTAAAAAATCTCAAGTTGACGTCGTAACGTTCTGCACTCGGATGTACGCTTCTCTATGCCTCATATAACCCTCTGAGTTGGAAGAAAATGCGCAAAGACTAGCCAATAAATTTAAGGAAGATCCAGATTAGTATGATGCTAAACACCAGTTTGTAGAAAACAAAACGCAAGGAGATTCTTGGAGTGCAACAAAGTGACAGATCTGAAAGACAAACCTCTGACCGAAGGACCAGAACTGTGGAGATCCAGGATTCCTCCTTGTCTACACACTTTCGAACGAGAACACTGCTGCAAGATATGAAGAAGGATTACTAATTCGAGTTCGACCTTCACACATCGAGCTCAAGAGTTTTTCAACGCACAATGCAACAGACCAGTCTGAGAATGAACTTCGTCTTCCGACCTCTGCGTCGTACCATGACCAGCAGTAGCGTCTCTTTCCTGTTTACTAGGACACGTGCCAGAAAGAGGTACGAGAAGATTTTGTTCTGCCAAGAAACTCAGGGCTCAATTATTTGAACAACTCTATTTCAAAGACGAAGGCCGAGTTGCCAATCTCGTTGTTGAGCGAAGGGAAGCCCGCGGCCGGTCCGCTTCATTCAAAACAGGAACTAGTTGCAGCATCTGCGCGCGCTCTGGACAAGAAGCGCGTCTGGTGCAAGCTAGAAGCAAAGAATATTCTGAAGTTAAATTATAGCCTGGCATGCACTGCAAGAACCTGTTGTGTGACAGACATGGACTGCGCACTGAGGGTCTCTCAAACAAAAGGCAATCAACTCACATCTGTCTGTTCGTCGGTCTCCCCGGACCGTTCGTACAAACGTTGTCAGTGTCTGTACTCTTCTGTGAACCATATCCTCTTGTTTATACGGTGATGATGAAAGCGTCGGATGTAGGAAAACGAAAGTTTCACTTTGTATGACCTCGTCTGAACCTTACATATAGAATTTGGAAAAAAGCAACATTAAAAATTCGATGGAATTCGTGAATATTGTCGATATCAAGTTTAAGGAGGACTTTGGCGCCAAGGCTGAACCAGTGTAAAATATACTCATGAACGAACCACGTACAGGACGAAACGACGTAACTTTTTCAGAGACATACGACACTGCAGATAGGTAAATTCCCCTTCGGGCACCATAGGTAAACTCTTTTCTGTCCGTTGTTAAAGCTTGTGCACTGCTTGAAAGAGTTTCCAGCAAGACCTGTGCAGTGGACCAAGAAGATGAAGTAGACCGCACCAATTGAAGTATTTGTTGTTAACCCAGAGATCAATTTAAACAACATGAAGACATGGAGAAAAACGCGATAGGTGCCGTATAGTCACTCCATATTCCTTTTGAATCTCCAGCCCCGTTAGCGGCAAAAGATTGAGAAAGTACATTGGTAGGTCATCTTCGTTTATACGAATTTTTAAAATTAACAAAAATAATGGACTGGACAAAAATTAACATTATAAGACCATATCTGAAGAGAGTATAGGATATATAAAGACAGAAAACAAAATATTTTGAATATGTTCAATGAGAACTTAATTTAGACTTAACCTATGTTACATCTAGACTGTATGTCAGCATTTTTTATATACTTTACAAAATAACATCATGAGCACAAATGAATCCAATTCTTAGTATTTTTTCTTAGTAAATTTTTAAAAATCTGAATTTTTGGAAATTTCAAGAATATTTTCCTATATACGTTGGTGAATCATAAGTTATTTATCTTTGAAACAATAATATTATCTCGATGTCAACGTGAAGAAAATGCATTTAATTCATCAAAATAATTTTTTTTTACCCTTCCAGTAGAAAAAATATGAATTATATAAAATTGCTTACTACCAATCAATTGGAAAAAAATGTTTTCTTGATTATTTGATTTTAGAAATATTTAAATTTCATAAAAATAAAAATAATAAGTTCTGTAAATCCAAATAATTTTTTTATCTATTTCTATTTATTTATTTATTTTAATATTAAATTAAATTATTATTTTTCAAATCTTGAAAAATATTTAAATGGAATATCGAACCGGATGGGAAAGAATCAACAAGAGATTCAAAAGAGAAACAGCCAGCTTATATAGTGTGATAAATCATAATCTCCGCAATCACGCCAATTAGATCTTCTACATGTAGGAATTGAAGACGGATGATAAATAGAATTTCAGAACAAACATCAACTATCTAAGCTATTATTTAAGACTTTTGTTAAAACCAAATACTAAGAATGTTATGACAAAGTCAAAAATTCATCATTGTGATTGCTCATGTGTATCACATATTTTCAAAGAATAAATGTTGTATAAAATACTAAAATATCGCCTAAATAAAAGTTGTCTAAATGAAATAGAAGAATATGAATGTGCATCAATATGTGTATCATGAAAAAAAAAAAACACTACCACATGTCCAAGGACATCAAAACGAATATAGTGTTTTGAATCGGACCAGTAATTACAAGCTCAGCAATAGAAAAAATAAAATTTGAAATCATCAAATGAAAGGAACAAAATTGGTGTTATGGGTTTTATTAGAATTGTGTATTTTTTTCACATCAATCGAAACTCCTTTCAAAAAGCAACTATATTAGCATGTACAACACAATGATTGTAATGCATGTGAGTATTTAGTGTCCAAAATGCACGAAAAAATCTTCATTGAAGAGAAAACGGAAACATGCCAAATTTTGTCTTAAATTCACCTAGATTGCCACAACACTCGTAAGTGACAAAACTGGAGACTAATGATTCATTCATAACTACATCAGTATGATGAATGTGATATGTGTTATGCAAACACACAAGATAGGGTTTTCAATATTAATAAATAGCCGATTTCCTTGTCTGCACATATACAGATGGGAGCTCTAGATCAGATTGACCAAATGCATAAGAACATGGATGTAATATCTTTCTCCAAATAACTCTATAATCCGGATGCATCTATAACTATTATATATATAAAGGATTTCTCACGTCTATCCCACGAGAAAGCAAACAATTCACCACATGGCATACAAACGCGTGAAGAAGATTGTACATGATTGGAGTTGGATTGTTTGTATTGTGGTTTTCAGACTTTTGGGTCCCATAGGCTTGATCTATTTACCATCGATCATGGTTTGTATGAGAAATCCGTGTAAGAAAACTCAATGGTTAGTGTTAAACGAATACTACCATATAAGAGACACATACAAAAAATTCTGATGGTATTGAACAACTCGTGGCAGGTTCAACGTAGTAGACACCAAGATCCAACAATGCCAAAACGACAATGAAGCATATTATATATGGCAAGTAGATCCATGGCTTCAAAAGTGATCCTCAATTGAGCCTCACGTATTGCTAAAAAGTTATCAGTACTCCCCTAAACCCATTACCCATAATACCAGCACATGCATAAGATCTCTGCTACAAGAATCAGGAAGAACTCAACATGCTTGGATCATGCTTACAATCTTAACTTGTTTAGATTACTCATCTTATATATTGTATACCTTGATGTGATAATATACACCTTTCTGCAACTCATTTCACTTTTCCTTCATTATTAGAGTTTTTTTCCTCTTGGAAATGATAACATGTTTATCATGTCCACCCTAAGAATGACAAGGTGACACACTGCTGGAAGTGTCTTCATCCTGGCTTATGATGCACAAAGAGCATATTCGCACTCTTAAGTCTCCCAAGGAAGTCATTTAGTATGATTCTTAACGAGCAATATGCTGCCATTTTCCTCATGTACTGATCAGACTGTAACGTCAAACTCCAGGAAGAGATTGTGTCCGACGTGCTGTAGTCCTTATATGTAATATCATCTTCCTACAAAAGAAGTAAACTGTTCCTCAGAAGTGTATGTTGCTTTTGTGTGTCCCTGTCTTTGTTTGATATTGGTTCCACCCAAAACAAGACATGTAGCAAAGCGACTTTTGCAGAATATCTCCCTAGAGGGCGGGTCGGCCCTGGTACGTTCTAGACTTCTCACCTGCTTGGTCCAGTACATTCAATAGAAAGTTCTTGATCCTTAACTAACAGAGCAACTTTTGTAGATTTCCAGGGCTCGATTACTCCATCCGATCGACGACTGCAACTGAATGTACTTGCTTTGAGGCAGCCGGGGCTAAAAAAGACACTTGAAGGTTCATGCTCCTGCCTACTGCGATGGTCGATTTACTGTGCAGCGTAGTAGGTGCCCGCTGAAGATTCGAGAAAACCACGTCACGCGATGAGTGATGTGGGGAGATTCATGCTCCTACAGCAGCACCAGCAGGATCCGGTGCTCTTGGAGGCTTCTTGTCTGCTTTGACGGGCTTATTGGTTGGTTTCTAAGTTCCTACAAGCCTCGTGGAAGTGAGAAGCGAGGAACTGAAGGCCGAACTAGCTTGAGGCTCAACCGGGAGGCCACGCGGCGACATGAGATGTGAACAACTGGCAGCCGCAAAGATTGAAATCGGGTGGCTCAGTCACGCTCGGGGCAGCCTCGCAATGAAGAGATTGGCCTGGAGCCGAGGCTGGAATTCACTGGGGCCCTACATTGAGTGAAAGACCCTGGACCTCCCGTGCAACGCCCCTGTTCCTTGCCGAGTCGTCCCGGTCGCCGAGTGGTCCAAACCAATCGCCGCTGTCCACTGTGCGATCCGACGGTCGAAGTTCCTTGAACGGAGTAATTTCTTCGCAATGCACCATTTTACGGCAGACGTCGTAGGAAAGCTGGACGATCATTAAGTGGCCCCTCACTCGGTACTCTCTTCACAACTCGACCTCGACCAAACTCGAACAGCGCAGCCTGCGAGTTCTCTCGATACCTCGCGCCCAGCACATCGATTTTGTGTAGACTCCACAAGATCGCAATTATGGCCCAAGCTACCATGTTGGCTCGCAGCCTGGCCACCGTCGCGCTGAGCAGGAATGTGCAGGTTTCCGAGAGCAGCTTGAAGGTCCAGCCGTTCTCCGCGAGGCAGCTGTCTTCTCTCCACGGTTCGTCGGTGTCTTCTTTCGCAGCCGGAAGCGCAAGCCAGGTCGGAGTTGCTCGTTCTGGAAAGGTGTTCGCCCTGTTCAAGAGCGCCAAGAAGGAAGCACCAAAGAAGGTTTGCCATCTCTGATCTCCTGATACTGTCCGTTATTTCCGCCATTCTGCATTTGCCTCGTTCATATACATCGACTAGGCTTTTGTGACGAGAATGAATGGAAGCGGAGCATTATCTTGGTTATGAAAATCGAAACAGTGATAGTTAACTTCTGTATCCTATCTGTCGTCCACTGCAACTGCACTATTCGTTTACAAACTGATAATGTAGGTTAGTTTTGTACTCTTCCGGTACGTCGTCTCTGCAAGGGTCTAGAAATTTGGGTATTGTTGCTAAGGATTAACGTCAGTAATATTAGGGAGTCAGCTTCACGTTGACACTGGTATCCTTTGTGTCAAACAATAACTCTGCCGGTTGGTCTTCCTCGTACGCTTTTCCTGAGAGGTTCGTTTCTCACTACGTATTTCCGTTGTTTTCAGCAGGACAAGAAGCCTGTGAAGTCATCGACTGAGGATGGTATCTTCGGAACCTCAGGAGGAATCGGTTTCACCAAGGCTAACGAGCTTTTCGTTGGACGTGTAGCTATGCTTGGTTTCTCTGTAAGTACTTGTGCTACCTTATTTGCCAGTGGTTATATGTGTTGTCGGAGTATAGGCAATAACAATATGTAACAGAAAGTTTCCAGCTGATACAATGCGGGCATGTAGCTGACTTGAAGATCTCTGTTTGTGTAGGCCTCCATCCTTGGAGAGGCTCTTACCGGAAAGGGTACCCTTGCCCAGTTCGACGTTGAGACCGGTATTCCCTTGAACGAGACCGAGCCACTGTTGCTGTTCTTCATTCTGTTCACTTTGTTGGGAGCAATTGGAGCTCTCGGCGACCGAGGAAAGTTCGTTGACGACGACGTCGACGAAGCTAACACTGGAGGAGTGATCCCCCCCGGAAAGGGATTCAAGGCTGCTTTGGGACTGAATCAGAAGGGTACGTGACATCCTCGTGTCGTGCGTATACCGCTTATTCTCGCTGCTGATCTCTCCGAAATGAAGTTGAAGTAAAGTATTCTAACATCATTTGTGAATGTGCAGGACCCACCTTCGGTTTCACCAAGGCAAACGAACTCTTCGTCGGACGTCTTGCACAGCTTGGAATTGCCTTCTCTATCATTGGTGAGATCATCACAGGAAAGGGTACTTTGGCACAATTGAACATCGAGACTGGTCTGCCGATCACTGAGCTCGAGCCCCTGATCCTGTTCAACGTTATCTTCTTTTTCCTTGCTGCTATCAACCCTGGTACCGGGAAGTTCATCAACGACGATGACATCGAAGAGTAAAGTGGAAATGGATTTTGCGTAACCTCACTTTTTCCCTCTAGGACTTGACTTGGTTTTAGAAATTTGTTGATAATTTCATTGCGGAGCTGCAAATACGAATTATTTAGCTGAAATCACCGTCATTCAGATTTTGAAGATTCCCTAGCCTCACGCTGTGTGGAATGTAGCTGTAGCAGAGTGCATGGAAACTCAAAATTTACGTTGAGATTACAATTATCAAATCTCCATGGTAGAGTACGTTGTCGGTGTCCCGATGTCTGTCGATCTCGAAGTACGCAAAGCGGGAGATCATTTGTAACATATGTATGACAGTAAACTTGCAATTTTCCACAAGACTTGTTGGAGGGGCTTGTTCTTGTCCCAAATCGATGTACATGAATCAATTGCAAACGGATTTTGAAACCGAAGCCAAAGGAAACAGCAGTGGGAATTGGTCAAAAAAAATATGTGTTCAGGAAACGAGTTAGTATTTAGTACTTATTTGTGTTATCATAACTGGCAGGCAAACCTCAAACTCACCGCGCATTGTGTAAAACAGAAAATTATGAACGAAAGAACAGTGTACTTTTATCCACAGCTACGTGTGAATGAAAATTATGCACAGTATCTTCAAATAATCGATTATAAAACTTAAATTCTTATTTTGGACTTTTACTCATATATATATATTATTTTCTATTCTTCACTTAATATGATACCTTATCTAAAACGCACATGTTAATAAAAGTGAATATATTATTCGAAATAAACCATCTACTACTATATAGTATATTTCCCAATCGATAAATTAGCCCATCCCTTAACTAAAACAATCTCAAACCTTATCCTTTGTATATTTATTAATATTTTAATTTCAATTTGTAAATGTAATTTATCCATAACGTATCACAGAATGATTTGATTGAAAACATCGATCAATGTCAGGCCACTTTACGATTGGAAGGCTCGTACCACCAGATTACACAGCTTAGGATCAGCATTGGGAAGATAAATAGTGTAATCCTTTCTTTAACATTAGATTACTAGTAACTCATAAGCATGGATAAGAATGGAAGTCTGCCTACAATTTCGAGGAAAATTGATCAGTGGGCTCTCAAATTCCCACCACTATCCGTTTCCACCTTCTGAAGACGAATAGTTGATATGCAGGTAATGACTAAGGATTGTCCAAAAGTTCCAGGAAATCTTAATTTTATTTTTTTTATAAAAATTGGCAAGAAAGTAATCATTATCGTTTTCCCCTGTTCTTACTGTCGAGTTTTACAATTAATGAACACAAATTACGATAGCAAGAGTATGAAAATTGCGGAAAAATGTGTAAAGAACACTGTCCATAACTTACCTTAGGAACTAAAATGCTGCGCTTATTACAAATAAAGAACATCTTAGCCAGCAAAGGGTGGCTTTTACGCAGCAGGCCTTGCGGCTCTCGTTCAAGCACACATTTGAGGAGGATCCGTCATTCTAAGCTCAAGGGAAAGTGCAATCACTGCGAGAGAAAGTCGGAATCGGGAAAGGTACAGCGCCAGAGATTCGGGACGAATCTAGTTTCGAGGCTGTCGATCGCGCTTACGTGGACTCAGAGCGGAGGTAGACGTGGAGGGCGCAGGGAAGCGGAGCGCGGGGAAGAGATAAGAAAAGCGCACAGGCCTTCGACGACGAGGCTACCAGCCGGAAATCGCTGTCAGCTTTCAGAACGTCGTCGATCGCTCGACATCCACCTCAAGATCCGTGCGCCATCCCTCGCCCTCCGTTGCTGGTCGTAACACACATGGTCCACGACCTTCGTAGATGAGGCGACCGAGCTCGCCGTTTGCCTTCTCGGCCAATCACCCGCTCCTGCCAGTCGCTGCCATTCGCTTCTGCCGGTTGTTTTAATTGCCTGAGCGCGACAAAATAGCGAGCGTCGTCTTGGCTTTCATTCGGATCTCGTCCCGAACCTGCCCGAACCAACGAAGCTTTCATTCACCACCTAACGATTGTATCCCTTGGACTATAGGATCTCGTAGCGACAGGATGACAAGCATTTCATGCGGTCCGTATCTGTCTGGTGACCGGTTTATCACTCTGGCCTTAGGACCACCTACGCCGTAGACCAAGTATAACGTGCTTCGTCGTGATGTTGGGATGGAGCAGTCGACAGTAGTTGCATCTACGATCAAAGCGGATCCGTCAGATGATCTACTGCAGCCAGGATAGCACAACCTGCGGTGTGATCATTCCCATGACATTCTTCTTTCACACTACAGCAGATCTCCTTTCAGGTCGAAAGTGCAGTTAAATTGGCGGCAGACTCAGTCCTATGTCGGTTTACCGTCGTTTCCGTGCACCATTAAGACCGTATGGGCAGGCCTGCCTACTCTCGAGTATACGCCTCGCAAAGATACGGGGGCCAATTTGTCCAGATCGGCGAACGATTTCTGAAATTAGACTGGTGGCTCCCGCGCCTCCCCAACGTCTCGCGCGCCAGGGGCGCGGCGAAGTGGATAAAGCGTTCGATGGAATCGCGTGAAATTGCTGGTCTCGCCTGCAGGCAGAGAGAGGGTCAAAGGTCGAGGACGAGCATCTGTGGCAGTGTCCTGACGCGACGCCATGTTCGTTCTTGCATCGTCTTCTTGCGTGATAATGACCGAAACATGTGCAGAACGTGTGGCACGGCCAGAATGTCACGAAGCGAGGTCAGGCGGAATGCACACGAGAGTGTCGACGAAGAAGAAGAAGAAGAAGAAGTAGAAGAAGAAGAAGCCAGAGTTTCATGGGCCGTGGGAAAGCGGCTGGGATTGTGATCGGTGAGCCTTGTAATGTGACCTTGGAAACGGTTGCTGCCTGTTGAGTGGTGTCGAAGGGGAATGGTTTCAATGGGCATAGCGGATAGTGACAGGAACCGAAAACTGTTCCTTTCACTTTGGTGGAAGCCAAGCAGCACCCCCGCGCAACGACTTTCAACTTCCGCTGTTCCCCACGGCTACTTTGCTTCTGCACACCCTTTCCAATGGTCAAATCCTTCAGGCATTACTAACCCACACCCCGAGTGCTGAACAAGCTGTTCTCTGCGAGGGATGTGTTTTAGGTGACTCGTCGTTCCGGCTCCTCGCCTTGTACATCGACTGATTCGCTCTTGTGCGCCACCATGGATCTCCCCGCCTACACTTTCGTCCATCCCCCGGTACTTAGCTCTGGCTCTGGTTTCTTGAAACTGAGATTCCTCGAATTGCACATGTGTCGACCTACTCGAATTCAGCGTGCATCTAATGCAAAACAGATTGCACCCGAAAGTAGTTTGTGCTGCAGGGAAGTCGGGTTCCGATGAGCCTCTCTGCAATCTGAGGATAACCGACATTTAAGCATAGGCATAACAACATATTCTGAGGGCAAGCTCTTACATACAAGTTTCAATCAAAACTTGACGAGATTGATCATTTAGAGCATCGAATTTTATTGTTCTGTCAATCTACCACGTCGAAACTGGATAAGATGTCATGAAAATTAAATGAAGTATGAGTAGACCGAGAAGTTCGGCATCCATGCATTTGCAGCTCACATTACACACATTCACTTGAATATCCATATCAAATTTTACAGGAGCAACCTCGGAAGAAGCCACAAAACTTGAATTTTACTGATGGCTATCCAGAGGTGAGGGCTCTGGACTACAGAGCGGCTGTTAGGGGACACCCGCCCTGGTCAACCACGCGTCTCGACATATACAAAGGATACCCGCCTTCAGTAACTCCGACGAGAACGCAGGTTAAGATTGAATACAACGACACACAAGAAAACTACGACAACAGCGGTGCATGCGACGCCTGCACCGACAAATTGGGTGGTCCTCAACCTCAGTGGCTGAAATTTGATAAGAGGGTAAGAAAATGTCGTATGTGAGGGCTGAGCTATCGATAGTCAAGCTTCTCAATAACAACCCTGCTACTAAAGATAAATCACAGCAAAGGGCTTGTCAAAATTCAAGGTAGTTGTCAGAAATAACCCCACTTTTATTCGGAGTAGTTCATAGCCACTAACATCCAAATATTCGGTTACCTCCCTAGCCTTGCAGCTCGTGGTCACTCGAAGTTATGTTGTCGGCTTTTTCTCATGTACATGCTAATATCGCACTCAAACTGACGCTTGCATGCGGACGCGCACACAGGTCTTGCGTTTTTACGCCTATTTCAAGGAAGGTATCGGTGAACGTCGTGATGAGAACATGAGGGTCCGCAAATGCACACTTTATTACTACCTCTCGGACGGGACAATACATATTGGGGTAAGAAAATTCAATTCAACCTCAGGTATGCGCAACATGAAAGAGGAAAAGCATTCCGACAGTCGTAACTTGGAGATGAAATATAATTTACATACTGGCCTTTCGGAATCGAAGATGAATTCCCAGTAGTAGACAAAATTGTTTTCACATCTATATTCTGTCCTCTGTCTCAAGTAAACCACTGAATTGAGAAAAAACGAGCCTGACCCTCCTGTCAGTGAACATCTGCAATGCAATGCTATGAAAGAAGAAAAAAAAACAAAAACAAAAAGCGGGGCCAAGTGGATAGCCGTGAAAGCAAAGCTTACTGTGTGATGTTACTCGTTTTCCTGTAAGGACGAAGCAGATTATCGACTTGAAGCTTACAAGCTGATTTTAAACTCACATTTTTGCCTGTTCTTGTGCTTTCACAAATTTTCAACCTAAAGGAACCGAGGCAAGACAACAGCGGCCTCCTTCAGGTAACAATGGATGAGCTAACAACTGTTTTTAGGAATCCAGTCAACTGTGTATGACGCTGTTGTATTACAGACTGTGTTAAGACGAGCAGCAGCTCAGCACAGACCAGCTTTATTTCAATGCCATTGAATACATCAGTATTCTGTGGCATTGAAATAAAAGATAAACAAGATAAACACATGCACGCCTTGAGCACCACTCGTTCTAATTCATCTTTGAGAGGCATAACTGATATTAGAACCAATCCGTCCAGTTTAATCCACACCATTACTGACACGGGACTTGATTTCTTGGCATTATCATCAACTGTAAAACAGGGAATTTTCTTGAAAAGATTGAAAGTCCCCGATGGCAAAGGTGGCCTCCTCGGAATTAAAGACTTCGTCTGTGGAAAAGAGATCTTGATATTCGGCCATCGATTCCATATTGTCTCATGTGACATATTTACGAGGGTCTAGATTTCTTCCCAGCCTTCAATACCATTTTTGTTCTAGCAGCTGCAGAGTAGTTACAAGTCAACAAAGTCCAACTGGAGATTCTTCGTCATGTCGCATCAACACTTGCAATTGCTTCTCAAGATGTTTCGAAGAAGTATACAATGGCCAACGATTCAGGATGATGGGCTATTTATCTAATCTTCATCTTTCGAATGAATAATTGCAGAGATTCCTGCTCAAGTATGGTTATGATCTGGGTAAGGAGGAAATTACCTATCCAGGAGAACCTCTTGTAGATTATCGCAAAAGTTTGCAAAAAGTCATCACCCATGAGATTAAGGACTATGCGGCTAAACAGTTTTTGGAGCTGGATGGAAAGGTCTTACGGTTCTTTTGTGTCTGGGATGATCGTGAAAATATATACGGAGCTCGCAGACCATATGTGAGCTTTCTCTAAAACACAACAAAAAAAACCCTGAAGAGTCTTCGCAGTCGCACATGCTTGCATTCCTCAACATATATGGCTATAGAAGTAGATCACGACTAGCTGACTCACTCAGCACAACGATAGACTCCGGTAATCGGTAGTCAAATTGGAACAGATTTATTTGTGTTTATGAGCTACTTTCATGGTTGACATCGTTCAGTTCCACGCACTAAACTGTGTGAGTCGTTTTTCAGGTCTTCCATTACTTTTTGGGTGACGACACTGTCGAGATACTTGAGATTCAGGAGCGAAATAGCGGACGAGCTCCATTCCCAATGCTCCTTCGACGGGGTCGTCTACCCAAAGTACTTCCAGACGAGCTTCTCGGTAGGATTTTCTTTGAGCGTCCCACTACGGATTTCTCAGCAGACTTTTCTTGCGAGCATGTCTTCGGACTAACAAGTCTTCAGACGAAAATTGAAAACATGAAAACATGTGACCACTGAAAATGCTATTAGGAACTTAAGGTCAACAATCTCGACGATCATCCATTATCAAGTTCAAATAAAGATCTCAAGGATTGTTTCTTTGACCAGCGGTTGGTTTGGCGTACCGTAGACCTCAGATTCTTGCAGGAAAAATATAAAATAAAATGTGGGTATCCAAAATTATTCTGAATATGCTCCATCACCGTCTGAGTCCTTATCAGGATCAAAGACGATGATGTATCAAAAGTCTAAAGAGGAGTGCTACAAGGATACCGATTTGATGATCGGAAGCTATGTGAAAGTTTGGAACCGTGACATGCTGCTTCACGACGCTGACGACTTCACTAAAGCCTACTATAAAACGAAATACGGCTACACAGATGATATGCTCATGCCTGTGAACGTCCAGGTAGGTCAAGATCCAGTCTCTCTGTGTGTGTATATATATATAGACACACACACACACACATAAGGTGCTTCACAAAACTTCATCGAATCCACAATTTACTGCTAAGACATTCACAACAGGAACTTCCTCATGGACGTATTCGAAGTCACGAAGGTGACTTCGGTTACGTCCTTCGTAGGGTCTCTAGGATTAGAAGGTTTTAATATTAAACAATACTTTTGTGTTTTCTGGACTCAGAGGAAGTACCAGGGGAAATCTGGATGAACACAAAGGTTTGAGTCATGTGTACTTTGAAACTTTCTTGACAATCCCTGGTGCTGCCCGCATTGAGGAACTGGTCCTGTTATGAGTAATCAACGGAGTCGCAGCCGTCGACTAACTATTTTTATTATGAAATGTAGGAACCAACGCCGATTCTCGCGAGGATGGAGGTACCGCCGCATAATGGATGGGGAACGGAGGAAGACAGCATGATGAACGTTATTCATCTAATGCCCAGGTCATGGCCAAAGGATTTCTTCAAGATGATGAACAACGGTGGAAAGGTGTGTTCGTTATTTTCATGTTCAGTGACCGCTGGGCATCAGGAGCTCTCATTTATAGATCTAGGAGTTTGAAAGCTGACTTCGCATCAAAATTAAGCTGGACCAATGTTGTGTCATGAGTGAAATCTCCGAGGTTGGATTGCAATAAAAATTGGGAAAATGCTAGTACGTCGTTGAGTACTTTTAAAAGTGTCTTCTCTTCCCTTTCTCAGATCTTGTGCTATGCTTGCAAAATGGCCGAAGATGCGAACCATTGGGTTTCCCCGGTGGACAAAACAAGGTTTTTTGTTTTCCAGGTACGTTAAGCCTTTCCCTATAACCGCTACCTCAGTGTCAGAAAGCACTTTCATAGGTTCCGACTAAATCACAACTAGAGGTAAACCAGTTCACTATATCCCAATGCTGGAAACTCAAGATAGTAGAGAACCCTTCAGAGATCAAGGCGAGAGTAGAGGAATAATAGACTCAGACCCTTAAATAACGCGAAGAGAGCAGGAAAGTGAAGGCAAGTATTATCGGCTGAAGACGTTTCTAATTTGATATCCAGGAACTTGCTTCTACGTTGTGAAAGAGATCTCTTTGAGCAGAGTCTTGTGGTTCTCCTCAATTTGACAGAAGCAGGACACAATGCATAATGTTCTTTGACATTTTTTATACATTCATGACAGTTTTTTCTGGAGGATGATTCATTGTCTGTCTTCGAGCCGCCAGCTCGCAATGCTGGTGTGGTCAACGGGCGTTATATGCACCGTCAACCGTCGCTTCGGAAGCCGGGGACTCTTGAAGCATACATTCCAGAAGACTTTTACGTAGGTGCAAGAATAGAATTACACGACCGCCTGTTTGATCTGATCAAGGCTGACGAGTGGACTCTCAAGTTCATGGAAGAGAACAAGGATAAGTTTCCCATGGCTGACTTCTCCAAAGTTCGCAGAAAAGTAAGTAATATGTCACTTGAAGATAATTTTCTTCTATTATCACCTTCAATGAGGTGTAAACATTGCATTATAGAACATTCTTGGATGAATAGACACACTCAATCGTCCTCCAATTCCTGACCTTGACGGTCCTTTGGGTTAGGTTCAGCTGGTTCTTTCAGGCCGTTACTAATCTTCCCTAGATCTCATTCCTATTTTAGTTGGCGGACCAAATAAGGCAACTGCCAGAAGACATAAAGGCTGATTTGACGAAGAAAATACCTGCCTCCAACCTGCAATGTGAAAGCCCTGGAATATCACGTCCAAGCAGTCCCAACGTGTAAGTTCTAGACTCTTTCTAGCCTATCCGTACGTACATGGTCGTCAACGTCATCGATCTGTGCATTATACGTTCTACCTGTTTATCCATGTTCTTTGGCACTAAATTGAGGTGGCGACTCACATAGAAGGTTATTGAAGTTAGAAAATTATATATTCCTCCCTTCGTATGGCGTCAAGATACTTCGCCTTGCTAAGCTTCTTTGAAGCTAATGAGCATTTTTGCGGAACTAATAATTGTCTCATCTTCCTCCATCCAGAGCTCCTGTTGATAATTCTAAGGAGCCTGTGGGCAATCTCCTGGCAAGGGCCGGATTGAAGTTGACCCAACACGAATTGATCACTCTGGAGAGGAATTGTGGTAGAGTGGATTCCGAATTCGAAGATTTGCAATCTCTACTCAAAAGCATGATCGAGGCAAAATGATAGCATGGCCATGTGACAGCTTGACCGCATACTTGAGACATCGTCTGTTGTTGGACGAATGTAATAGGGAACAGTTCTGCTACACACCAAATTGGTAAGACTCTTATGTTTGCAAACCCCGAAAAGAAATGTTACTTGTAACATTTGAGAAATGTGCAATATTCTTGTTTTATACATTACCCTTTGACCTCCCGCAGAATCTGTGGGAAATATCTCTAAGCTAAAAATCGCAAACTAATTGATGATTTCCCTCACCACCATAAGCAGCTCATGTCAGCAGCAGTACTTGTTCTAAAGTCCAGTCATGTACTCTAATTAACTCCAAACAAGTGCAGTAGTTATTCATAACTTTAAGATGACAGGCCTCCCAGAGTATGCAAAGAACCACGGCATAGACAGTAATAGAGACGAACAAAGAAAAGCTTAGCGAAAACCCCACCCGAGGTCAAAAATGATAATTTATGGTAAACACCTTGGCGAAAAACCTTCATCTCTCTTACCCCTACTTGCATGCACATCGAAAATTAGAGGGAATGATGTTTCCAGCAAACCTTTACTATCTATTGCGGCAAAGTGCTCACAATGTAATGCTGATGAGGCGTGCATACTCTCTAACCAAAGCATGCATACTCTCTAACCAAAGCATATCGTGTGCTATTGCTCAATAGCAAATCAATGAAGGTATGCACTAGTAATACTTGCAAAATATTTTTGTTTACAGCCGTAGAAGCACCGCTTTATCAGTACTTGGAAGACGTCCTAAACCAAGATGAATGCCACGATCAATCAAGTGAAGTCCTAACTAGGGTAGCGGCAATATGCAGGTAAGAAACTGTGTGTTAGTTGAGAAAGGTAACTGCTGGTAAGGTAGTACTTAACAATTTCTCCTCTCCTTGCCATCATTTCTGGTCTGACGCAAAATATAAAAACTTGTATGTAGTCAAATGAAACAATTTATTTTGAATTTAGAATGTCATCATTAATACTAGTCAGAGGTCGACACGTTCAAGACGTCGTGTACCTGGATCATCACTACGGAGCTCATCCCGATACTGTCTACGGGTCTACATTACGTTTTTGGACACGATTATGCACTAGTGGAAGCCTAGCTTGAGTAACTCCTCCAGTCTGCAGGGGAAGACCGAGGCCTATCTGAGAGTCAATCTTGCAAACTGGAAGAAGAGATCGTAAAGGGAGAAGGTTGTGAATCACTATCATCACCATGGCCTCGTCTGCCGCACAGTCAATTATTGTTTTGGTGTCTCCAAATTATCAGTAAGTCATGGAGACAGGTGACCGCACATGAGAAGGAGAGACGGAAACTAATCGGTTTCTTATGGGTTTAGTCTAAAAACTTTGAAACCTTCAAATCATCGGTTATCTTCATAGAGGACAGGAGAGCGCAACAGGCCGTCAGTAGTTGACCATAGACAGACATAACATAACAACCCAACCCTAATGATCTTATGTCAACAAGGCATCGATAAATCCATGCTGTCTTCGACTTCACATCGGGTCTCAAAGTTGGACAATTCTTTTGCAGATGTCGCCCGGATCTGCCATGAACTGGTATATGGCAGCAAATCAGATTTACTAGACCTGTCACATGTGGACATATTAGTGAAGAAGTTCATATGATGGAGAGAGTTACTTCTTCGCTTTCTTTATGTTCAAGGTTACCACAATAGAATCATACCTTCCAAGAATGTATTATCAATTGATACACTATCAGTTGCATTGGCATAACTTGCAACCAAGTCGGAACTTCCAAGCGTTATCTTTACCAAAAAAAAATTTCAAAAATTCAAAATTAAATTGATATGTTAAGTGTTATATGTTAATTGATCTTTTGTATTGAAAAAATTGTGACACAAACACATTTCATCTCTTAAACTCACCAAATTATTTATCAATTATTTTTATTTTTATTTCTTTATTGTATACATAGACAAGCAATTACAATGAAATATTGAACATTTTGTTGACAAATGATTTCAGAAAAATATAAAATCTTTCATTTTATATTTAATTTATAATGATCGTTTTTAAATTATAATATGATATTGGATCTAGAGTTAAATTCAAGGCTAATATTATAAACCAATAAAAAATATTAATAATATGTTAGAAATAAGTAAAAAATTATTAGGTTATATTTGATTTGCTCAAACATATTAAATAAATCCAAAACTAAATCTATGAAGTTAGCATGTAATGTTCATGATAATTTTTGTTTTATTTTTGATCTTATCACAAAATTTACAAAAAATTTTATTAAAAAATTTATTTATCTGTATTTGAAAAATTTTGTGAAATTGAAAGAGTATCATTAAGTAGAATTCAAATACTTGATGGCGGTTTGATTTATATAGATTTTCTACATGATATAAATAAAATTTAAAATGTCAAATTCAAAAAACCCTCTAGAGTTGAAATAAAATAAAATGAAAGTAAAAAATCTAATATTTGTAGATGTTATAGAATAATACTATGTGTTATGTTATAATAGTATATTATATAATGAAATGAATCGTATTATATATTTCAATTGAGTTAAGTATCATCTGAAAATAAAAGAGAGATTTGTTTGATGGGACCCCTCAGGTTTCGTTTTACCTTATGGGACCCCAACGACTCTGTGCCGTCGGCCATAGTTCTTGTAACTATGATTGATAGTTACAATGAGTGTATTACAATCGGAAATTAATCCCTGATTATAATTTCTGGTGGATTATCACGGGTACAAAGATCTATTTTGCCGGAAGTGCAATTTGTTGTGCTTCAATTCTCTCGATCGCATCGATTCTCGAATTTCTCTGCTGTATTTTTCCGGCACCCTCCTTCCATAACCCTGCGTATGCGACGAGGAGCTTGTACCGGGAAGTGGTCCGAGCTCAAGTCTCGTGGTCCCCCATTTGTGGCGAACAAATAAACTCCGGATGAGCACTCTTGCACTCTTTGCCCGTCACCCGGGGGAGTGACCGGATACAGAATGACAAACTAAAAACAAGGGAGTGTGATGGAGGGCGAAGTCCACTCTCTCTGCGAGCGCGGTTGACTCGTGGCACTCTCTCTAAAACTCAAGTCGTTATTAAAACATGGGTTACAGTAAGTCATTCATGGGGTACCATCGGGTAAAACGAAACCTAAAGGTTCCCATCAAGCAAATTACTTTGGGCAGGGGTACCATCAAGCAAATCTCTTGAAAATAAAATGAACGATTTTATTTTATTTAGGTTTATGAATGAGTGTAAGTTGATAAAATCTCATCTCCACTATTCATTTTATTGTTAATGTATCATTGACATGACAAATAAAAATTAATTTACTTTTTGACATAGATAAAATTGATTCAAAATGTTGTACCATGAATAAATACCATGAGGAGACTTTGGATATTAACATTTGAAAAAAAAAATTGAACAGGAAGATAAGAAATACATTTTTGAAATATTACATGTAATTTATTGATCATACTAAATATGAGTACATTTATCTTCTCGTACGTATTGAAAAAAAATTAAGTACTTATTCAGTCTATAAATTTCATTACTTGTTACAAAATTCACAAGGTTCTATTTATATATCTTAAAACATTTCATTCCAAAAAGTGTTGATTTTATCATATAATGTGTTACCAATCTAGGGTTGGAAATAATAAATCCTCACGGCTTCCAAATGATCATCATAACTGTTACTTAAAATTACTTCTTTGTGTAAATTTACAACTCAGTAACTTGGCTTGGCAAGTAAATGAATTCCACTTCTTCAGTATTAAATTTCAAAGTTTTTATTAATGATAGTTTCAAATTATTTCAATTTCATCTAACTTAGTTCCAAGTTTAGGTTCCCGTTTGTAGTTCAGAGGGTATTGCAGATGATTTAGTCCTACATAAAAGTGATGAGTGTAACAGCTCTTGTATAATATACGAGGGAAGACAAAATCACAGTGCTATTGACAAAGCTTCAAAATATTCTGGATAATGTGTAGCTTAGAAATAAGGAGACTACTGTCTCCTCTGGAAAGCGATTTTCAATCAATGTTCAGCATGGACACAGGCCAACAACAAAAATAAAGAAAAGCATCAGATCCAATGCATCCATCTGAAATAATTGGTGGATCAAGCACGTTCAGCTTTAACCACAGAGAAGACCGTGGAAGCTCAGAGGACAAGGTTGAACTTCTTCCAGTTAGTGTGCAAGAGTACATGTAAGATAAAAGGCTCCTCATTTACAATCTACATCCGACAGCAGGTTTACAAATTAATGCCTACGACACCTCCTCCTCTTAGTTCGACTCTCTTCAGCAGCAGTTACTTTTGCTTGAAACGTTACAGGCAGACGGATTTCCCTCATCTAGTACATCTGTGTTCTCTAGTTGCGCCAAGGTCTAGCTCAGTTCACCTGGAAAAGGAAGTTTCTGTGATCTTTTATTTGAAACGTACTCCCGATACCAAGCCTAGGACTTCTCTTTGGGTAATATAACAATGGTTTGTCCATCATGGTTGAAACTGACAAAACTGACTTGCTCTTCCTTTTCAATACAGATTCTCACGCCATTCTAAACCTAGAAGAATGTGCATACAAAATGCGTAAGAATTTGCAACCAAGAGCTTCTCTTAGCCAGTTCCGTAACGGTATGTTGAATCACTTTTTGGCCAACAACATTTTCCTGAACTCGTCATTGGACTTCGGAACTTCGTCCCCGGTAGATGCCTGGCCAGCACCCCATCCAAGCGGTCGAGACACAGCTCTTGGAACTGCAAAAGTATTGTTACCTGTGATAGCTACTTTACCCCGGTGGTGACCAAGTCCGGGTCGCACACCTCGTCCGCTACTCCCATTCTCATCACCTGGTTCACCTCGTCCACCACCTCCATGCCGACCACCACGGCGACCGGGATGACCACCTACACCGAGGTCAAAGCCAATACCGATGAATAGTGAATGATGAATAGTCTGTTTGTGAGAAGCAAGGAGTATTGAAGGAAGGGAAAGAATGAAGATACCGAGCGACATTTCATGAGGTGATAGTCCAGGACCGAGTAAACAACTGCTGCATCTTGAAGGTTGATGTGACTGACAGACTGCCAAAAGTACCTCTTCCGCCCCGGGCACCAAAGCCAGCTCGACCAGCTTTAGGCGCAGATCGGGCAATTCGTATAATTCTTCCACCAAGTTCCTGGCCATCTTTGGCGACAGCAGCCGCTAAAGATTCTTCATCTTCAAATTCCACGTATGCCAGCCCCTGCAAATAACAGTCTTCTAATTTATCCATGCTATTTCTGCTCTTTCTTCTGCTTTCGAGTCAAATGTCTCAATTTTCTAAAGAAACGAACGAAGAAACAAACTGCTGCTAACTGCATTGTACCCATTAAATTCACAATCTCTTGATCTCTAGAACCTCACAAGCATGTAATCATTATGGTACGAAAGAATTTTTACTCTCAGATATCTCCTGGAACCCGACCAAAAAAGGTTCCTTTCTAGAACTTTGGACATGGAAAGAGAGATCTTTAGCCCCAAAACTAGTTAGTTTCACGCACCCGAGGCTGATCAGTTACTTTATCCCTCAACAGACGCACTTCCTTGACTCCGGATCCAGACGAAAAAAATTCTCGTAACCCATCTGGTGTAATCTACAAAGCCAAACGCAAAGTTAATGAAACATGTCATTTATCTGGAGAGGTAATTGATAACAACAAAGGCTACTGGTTGCTCGGGCATTGCTTTTTCTTCGATGATTACGTAGTAAATAAACTGGTCTCTTCAAAGACATGTACTCACGGCAACCGATGAGTCACAATAAAATGAGAAAGCTAAACTTACATAGTCTTCCGATGTTCTGCATGCATACTAATTACAATCAGGTCCACCAATTTTGTTAATCAACGAATCACATACCTCAAAAGATAAATTCTTTAGAAAAGCGGTGCATTCGTCAGTATATAGCTTAGGTGTCTCCGTAGAAGCATGTCTCGTGACTGCTTCGTCCTTCAAACTGCTTGCTGAAGGTTCAGGTCCATTCTTCGTCTTCCCTTTCTGCTTAGTCATCTTCAAAGTTTCATCTTCTTCACCAGCTTTTGGGCGTTTCGGAACAGGCTTGGGCTCTTTAAATCCACTGTCGTCACCAGATCCACGCTTCCTCTTGCCTGCAACTGACTCCGACGGAGTTTGATTACTGTTTCGTACTCCCTTTCCAGCCTGCTCTTTGGTTTTGTTCACTTGTGGTGAAGGCTGTGATGGTGTAGTTTCCTGTTGAGCTTGCATCACTTGGACCTCGGCGAGCCGTGGAGCCACCTAAATCACAACACACCGAGTCGATCAACAGTCAGATAACCAGCCACCTCCTCACCGTAAAATAAAGAAGGACAGTATTCAAAGGGATACACAAATATACCTTTGTCAATGCTCTGTCATAGTCTTCAAGGGTACCATACTCTCGTTCGAAACGTAACCATGCAGAACACATTATCTGCAGATCAAATCGGATCAAAATAAGATCCTTGGTGTCTTCAATCAATAATCTGAATATATGATAATCTAGCTCGGAAACCAGAAATGTTTGCTGATGTTTCCTGAGCTGGGTACAGTATCCAACATACGCCTATAAACTTCTTGAGCTATTCTATTCTTACAGCCTGAACAGATAACAAGCATCATACTAAAGGTCGTATATTACTTCCGCACACGGCGAATGAAGGCAACTCAAGTGCAGAGTACCTGGGTTCCGTTGCCCTCCAGCCTTCTACTGTAGCAATTTCTGTAAATCGACCGAGCCTCCTTAATATTCTTGAGTAAGAGCTCCATCGAGATGTAGCCTTGCCAAACCTCAGTCATCCAACCACTACGGACAATTATGCATTAGCAAGAAAAAATCACCTGACCGACTCAGGCGTCGTGAAAATAACCCCAAAAAGATTCTTATTTGTATTAAGGTCAAAGTAAAATTGAATTTTACATGACATAACGATGAGGAAACACTGGGAACATATGATGAAACGAAATAATAACAAGCACGAAACAGGAGATCGGTAATTGAGTAGTATCGGCATGAAATATGGACTAGATATGCAGTAAGGTCAGCAGAAATCATGATTACTTTTATATCAGGAATGTATTGATAATATCATTCAAACGGTAGTTGAAAACCTTCCAACAACAATTAGATGTCAGCAATAGGAGGCCAACCCTACTGTAGGAAGAAGGGTGATATCTCAACCCAGGTCGCTGCAGGCTACCACGATAAAAACACCTAATTATTTTCTTGAAAATAAGTGAGTAAGGCCAACTTGGAGAACAGAGCAAATATGTCGAAGCTAAATCATATTGATGGCAAACACAGAACATACAAAAAGGGAAAAAAAAAAAAAGGGAAAGAAGAAGATGATATATAGGCTTCAGGGTAAAAGGTCATAAGGAAAGAAAACTAGAGATGGGAGAGCAGACCTAATGTACTATTCGAAACATCAGCAATCAACAGGACGAGATAATGATCGGTGACACACACAAAAAGAGCAAGCAGTCCAAGAACCGGGCGTCATTCACTGACCCAAAACATAAATAGAACAGGTGGAAAAGTATTCCACTTCAATGAAGACTTCTTGTACATACTCTAGATTCCAGATCCGTATATTGAACGAATTGAAATTCTGCAGCAGACCAATGAGATAAACGAGTTGTTGCTTACATTGATTTGATCAAGCTTTCCCACACACCACGGGCTGCGGCTAAGTCCTTCGCCAGATGAGCCTCGGTCTGAGCCCAGTACGCGTGAAGTGTTAACGACCGATCCACGTAATCTGGAAATACTGAGGTCATATACTGCGAAGCACGCTGCAACAAAGACGTGATTTGAATTACCATCAGATACACTTTCCTATGGAGATAGAAGACGGCAAACTACAAGCATCGCAGAGAAGCATTCTGATTCAAACCAGCTAAAATGGCATAGCTGCTGAAAGGTGACACTCTGCTATGACACAAGCAAGAGGTTTTCACTATATTCAGATTGTCAAATAGGCGAAAGGGAATATTTCTCAAACTAAGCTACATTACTAAAAGGAGTGTTATCTCACATCAAATGTATCATGTAAAAGAGCAACAAACGTTTGTTTGTCGGAGTTATCATCCATGCTCATGATACGCCGGCGTATACCGTCAGCACGAGTAAGATGTAAGTCCAGCAACTGCACAGAAGCGGCCATACATGGTTACTTCAGCAAATTCTCAATGAGGCACGCGTTTTTATCTCTACAATGAGCTAAGCACAGGTGGATGGACTAGCGTCGCGCCCAACTTTTCGTATCTATTCAATACAACGTAGAAAAAACTGTAGAGGTGGATATACAAAGATTTCATCTTTTTAGATGATTTATAACACCCATCAAAGCAGATAAATGAAGCAAGAGTGAGATAGAGAAAGGTATTACCTCCTCTGGGGTTTGATATCCACCCAAAAGACTCTGTTCAAAGACCTGTCAACAAATTTGTTCTTCATCAGCAAGTTTGCCTGACATCCACTAGAACATACGTCATTCGGATACGATTCCAACGTAAGAACGTTTTTATTTGCTAGACATTGAGGACTAGGAACAGTAGTTGGACATTTAAGTTAATGCAATCGACCTAATTTTTATTCATTGGAATAAATGTCTCATTCTGCCATCCAAGCTCTAATACCTTCATTTAATAAAATATTTTTTGTATAAAAAGTTTGTTTGATGCAAATGGCTAAAATTTCTTCGGTTTTGCAAATTCATCAAGTCCAAAAAAGAATTGAATTGATGACTTAAAGTCAAAAATCTGGTTCCTTTTTTAAGGATTTTTTTTTCTTCATATATTTCTTGAGATAGTTGACCTGATATGTACAAGAGCTTAAGATTAGAGAATCGCGAGCAAAAACTGACAGGCCAAAATGAGACCACCAGATCTGACAGAAAAAGACTTACTGCAGCGATTTCGCTGTCGGGCGCGTGGGACCTCTCGAGTGTTAGGAGGTAATTTTTCCACAGAGTCTCTACCCACGGACAGTTTCGAACCGCCCGGGCATAAACACCTCTGAGCACAGAAGAAACCTGCCAACACATGTTTACTTAATCGAACAGTGCTGCAGATGCATGAATCGCCCACAAGTCTAAAGAGGAAATCATGTGAAAATCGGTCCATGACCACTGCATTCTTGCAGCCTAAGTTGCTCCCAAAACGGTGATGTATCATCAAATAAGGTTGAAGCGCTGATTGAGAAAGAATAACAAAGTTTGCACTAAGCATGGCATTGCTGGTGTTTCTCGCACGTAATTTAACATGCTAGCATAAAATACATAAACTTCATTCGTCTAGAGAGAAAGACTTGTAGGTTATGCAAATGCTCGTCAAACCGTAATTACACTAAAAAGATTCAAAAATCAGAGTTTTGTGTTTATAAAAAATATTACCTTCAAGTTCTTCTCCAAATAGTCGGTGTATCTCAGCCAGACATCGCGATTTACAGGGAATGCTGTAATTGTGCGTTCGTAAATGACTTGAATTCGAGCAGGCTCCCCTGTGTTTTCTTCCAATGTAATGTAATCCTATTATCAAGCACCAACAGTGACAGGCCCATCAGAGTTAATAAATGAGCGAGGAATGTCATGAGGGTAGTAACAAGAGTAAAACCGGCAGGGACCATAACATTAGTAATAATGGCACAGTGAAAAAGTATTGAAGAATAAGTAAAAAAAGCAAAGGTATTCAAAAAAAATTTACTAAAAACACAAACAGCAAGCTCGAAAACTTTCCGTAACACAACAAGTAACAGAGACACTGGCAACAGACAGCAGAACAGACTAGGAATTGATCTAAGCTCGCAATGTCTTAGATACTAGCAACTTACCATATAGTGTTGTAGCTGCTCGGTACTTCCAGCTTGGTCCTTAGCAATCTTATCTTCAAGAGGTTCACGGCTGGCCGAAACCAGCAAAGCTTTTTTGTAAGCGGAGGCCACATGGGTTGGAACTCCAGCCAATTCATCACTTTCATCACCAATATGAACACCTTGTTCCTCTTCCCACTCTTTGAACTCCTTCAAAGTTTCAGCTAGATCCGCTGCTGGTACAGTAAGTTGCCGATGGAACAAACTCCTGATGTTCTCTAGCTGTTTGGCTTTGTTCTAAGAAAGGACAAACAAAACTCTCAGCTCACTTCAAGTGATAATTCTATTGATGTTTAGAGGATCCAAACAGTTGAAAGTGAAGTCGAATAGGACGTACCTCGGATCCGTCCAATGATTGCAGCAAGCTCTTTTCCATTTCACGAAATGCTTTCCAGATCTTACCACCTTCTGCATAATGAAGACCTACTGCAGCTAGAGATCTTTCAAATAATCGCCTCTTCTTCGCATGCTTCTCCACTGACGGCTGTCCAGAACTTTCATCATGCTTCGCCACAAACTCGAGGTAGTCCACCCAAAGCATCACTGACTGCACATATAATCAGCAATTAGCAATCAAGTGGCTTGAATATCAGCAGAAATACCTTACGATATCTGATTACACATGTAACTATGAAACATTATGGTTTCCCGCCTGATATAGACAGTCTTTCACTAACAAAAAGCTGGATTGCACAACTTCGACGTGAACGCGGCTACCTGGTAATCTTGGACCCCTCGCTCATAGAGTGCTTCCACAGCAGCTACGTCTTCTTGCCTGACTCAGCCATGTACAAGGGCTAAGCAGCACTCTTTTGAAAACGAACTACCGTCAAAAGTAAGATTCATAAGTGTAAATGAGGTCCACAGAGATCACAAGAACAAAAAGCCATTCCTTGAAACCATGCGCTTGAACCAAATAGACGTGAATCCTGCTACAGTGATGGGCAGAAGATGATAAGAAAGAGGGGTCAAAAGGGCTATCTTTTCAAAGTGGAGCTACTTTACAGTTCAAGGAATTACCCGGCTACTAAACGGGCTTCATCTTGTGCCCATTCTCTCCACATTGTAGGCGTGAGAGGGTAATGGACGTTCATTGCCTCTCTTGCCGCCCGGAGCTTTTCCAACAGACCGCATTTTCGCAGAGTAGAAATCAACTGCCTCACAATAGAAAGCCGGTGTTAGTACAAAAAAATTAATGCTCATTAAAAAACTAGACAAAATTCACGTTTGGAACTAACCTTCACATTTTAAAATACTCCTGTTTGGTTTCTCGACTCAAATTCGACAACTAACGACACTTTTGGTTACTAGTACCTTGTGTATAATATATCTAATTAATTTTGAAGTACTACCGTGGAATTTTACAAGCAGGAAAATAAAGTGATTAATGCAATCGGTCGCAATCATTTTGACAGAAGATTTCTTCACACGAGTTTCATCATTCCTTTGAGTGTTCCGTGGCTAGTTGAGAAGACTAATGTAATCCTTGTAGATATTTTCGTATGTCATTTCTGCAGAACAAAATTGCAAGTACGACGGATAACGGTCTGGAAGCTCCCGATGGTAGAAAGAATAGCAGAATGCAGATTCAATGACAGGTAAAGCACACGCACCGTGGCATGAGCTTCGTAGTTGTACTGATCTGCAGCGATTGCATTTTCCAGCTGCTGGATAACTTCAGAACTTTCATCTTCCCTGTCGGAATCGGACGAATCGCTCGAATCCTCATTGTCTTCGTGCTCCAATGCTTTTCCCGGGTCTTCATTCCCTTCGACCGCATCATCATCATCTTCTTCTTCCTCCTCCTCCTCCTCCTCCTCCTCGTTCATATTCACATCTTCCATGTCCTCCTCGACAGCCATCTCTCCCTAAAATCAGCAAAGAAGAATTGGCCCTGCCAATACACCGGGCCAAATTCAACTAATCAGAACCGAGCTTCTCCGACTCACAATTACCGTAACCACTTTAAAATTCTGCTCCACTCCATGCACATTCGGAATTTGATCCTCCAACATCCAAACTTCGAACTTCCGAACTCGAAAATACCGCGAAATCTCCACGGAAACACTATTGAAAATATCCATACAGACTACCCAGCTCCCAGATCACACGGTGACAGCGGAGAGGTTTCAAAATGCTTACCAGTCGCCGCGGCCCGGCTCAGCACCTCCTTCACTTCAATATGTTCTTGAAAAGTGTCGGAGCACTGCAGTACCGCGAACACGTCCTGCACTCCTCGACGCTCGTTCTAACGTCTTCGCCAACTCAGTTTTCATTTGGGCTTCGTCTCACCCTTGGAAGTCCAATGTCAGGCCAATCATTAGCATGCTCCATCCTGCACTGATTTCTCGAATTAGTGCCTGGACAGAGTGTGTTACCTGTTGATTACCATGGAAACACTAATCCTGATTGAAATGTCTTTCTTCGTGGCGTATCCAGGATTATCATATCGTTTTAAACGTTGGACTGTCCGAGTGAAATGTCCTGTTCTTGTCATCTAACACCATGTGATGTGCTGGCATTAATTTTATCGAATGTGAGGCTGATTCATTAGAGAAAAGAAGTGTGAAGGTGAAGTTTGTACTTCTTAAAATTTTCTCAAGTATAAATTTCACACTTTTGAATCGTAGACGTTGAATCTAGAACTCACACCTGTAAAAAAATTAACTAACTCAGTTTTATTCTACCATTAAGTAATGTAGTTGTGCATAAGCCGGTTAGATTATATCAATTAGAGCCTACTGTGCGTTCCTTGATGTAATCACTTGACATGTGATCAAAGACTAGATCTCATTACGATACCTAATGCTGCTGAATGGGTAGAGTTTGAATGTAGCTATTTGGAATGCAGTTTTTAAAAATGAAAATTTAGTAATGTAACTATGTTGAATAATAAGTCGTATAAAAACATGAATTCTTGCAACTCATGGTGGGTTCAGCTCCGTTGTGAACTCTCTTATCTTACTTTTTGAGATTAAAAAGAAGCTTACTTCAAAAATCCCAACCAAATTTAGTGGTAAGAACTGTATGATATATTCATGTTGTCAATGTTTTTTGATTTACAGTAGTTTTAAACTATTTTTTTAAATATGCATTCACTTGATATAAAATTGATGTGATCAACATTGAGTACATTCTATGATTTATTTGGTGCTTTAATTCCTAATCCAAAATTGAAAGAATGCAGGTGGCATTATATAAATAAACTACTTAATACTTTATTTGTTATGTCTTATAACTAAGATTAGAGATAATATTGCAAACCAATATGCTTCAAAATGTATTCCATGTTTGATACCAACTAAAACATTGATGCTTGTTTGTATGATTTGTGTTAATCAGGCATCAAGATTTTAAGTCGTTGCATTCATTATCTTCTACATGTATAAGAATTTTTTTTCTTAAAGCAATTAGAATATTGTAGAACTTCATGCAAATAGTTTATCACTTGTTGATTTGAAAGCAGAAATTATGCATCTATTATGTGTTAGGAATCAACTTAGATTTTGATTAATTTTGATTTGTTTAATCATAATTATTCATCTAATTAGTCAGTCACTATATAAAAAAATGCATGTTTACTCTCAATTTTCAATAGAGCAAAGATGTGTTTGCATGAACGTACTCTCATCATGTTGCATTTGATATATCTTATCTACACATGAACGCTATAAGAACTCCAAGTGTTTGGTTGTGACGAATCTCATGTGCTCTTTGTATGAATCCTTTACTTTGATCTTTTTCTTCATTTTCTGTTTGTTGATCCTTATAAAGTTTATAGAGAACCTAATAGGTTTGTCTAATATTGGTCAAACTTCACACAAAATAGCAATATGTAATGAGTATACTTTCAAAACTTTAATCTAAATTTATCATATTTCAATCTTCAGAAAAAGTTTTGTAATTATTCACTTGTATTACAAAATGATATGGAGATCGTTAGTGAAAGATCCAACAGAGATCATAACCCGTTGTTTCAAGCAATTTCAAATACTATATGATTATGTTCACATCCACACTTTCATTTTGAAAAACTATTTTTTGAGAAAAAGTAATTGCTATTGTATCAAATCTAACGTACTAACGATTTTTTTTAGCTACAAATCTATCACTATGTAAGATAGCTAACCAAAACTCTCAGCGAAAAGTTTTTGGGTAAAAAACATGTGGTCCTGTAAACATAGTCTAACTGAGTCATACCACGGACTTTTTTGTCGGTTTTTTATTTTTTTTTCATAAAGTGATTGCGCTTGAATTTCTATGTCTACAAACAAAACACATGAATCATGAATCAAAGTGAAGATTGTTAGAAAATATTTCATATTTTGGTTGATTCTGGCTAGCTTCACCCTAGTTAGTTACTCCAGTTAGTCTGTCAGTATATGACAAGGTTGATTGTAGCTACTAATGTGAACCACATAAAAAATGTCGAATGTGTATAGAACGCATGTTTATTTTCGTTAAGGATCTACATTATGTCATTATCATATAGTTATGAATTTGATTTGTATCAAAAGTTAAGAATTTTTTCTAAGTGGTTTTATGTTTAATAAGGAAAAATGATTCATAAGAAAATTTTGAAGTGTCATATGTACTGAAAGACTATAAATGAGAGATTTTTTTTGGTTTTTTGCATTATATATTGATTAATGTCTTGTTAGAAATTATTTTATTTGAAAATTTTGATAATATCAAAGAGAAATAAGTATGCAAGATATTTCTTGGAGTGAAGTAAGATTACGGGAGATTTTAATTTTTCTGGGTTGCATTGTTGCACATGGTTTTGAATTTCACACTGTACAAAATAATAATCTTTATTCATTGCAAGAGATGGACGGAAAATGGAATGGAAAAAATCAAAGTGTTCAATTGTAACGATACATTGAGATATAAACCTCCATCTTTATTGTTGTTATAAGGATAAACTTATGTAATCTTGGTCAGAAAATGGCAATAGTCTAATCATATGTATGACAAGTCATATAAATCTTTTTAGCTTATTCATAGTAAATTTTAAGCGATACGATTTCATTTCTGTATGTAGAGTATATAGCAAGTCTTATAAAATGACAATCACGGTGGCTAATGTTTACTCATATGCTCATGTTTGTAACACATTTGATTTAGAATATCTTCACATTTATAACTAAGTAAACTTATCTATTATACATGTGACGTGGATTTTGATGTGAGATTATACATTTTCTTCAATGAGCTATGAGTATAGCGGAAGTAATAAAAATTTCAATCAGAATCTTTCATAAAAGTTATCTTGTTTTTCACTCTAACGTTGATATAATAAGAAGTTATAGAAACAAACTTCGAAAAGTTTATAAGCAGATGTTTGTAAAGAAGCTTGTGATAATCTACCAATCAGATACATGAATATGGAAAATTTCAGCTTGTTATGTGAAGAGTTCAGGAAACATGTTTCAACAGTCATAAAGAGAGCATTAACTAGAGCTTCATATAACAGATGACAATCACGTTCATGTAGCATGCTCATAACATCAATGTTAATAGCTCATTTTCTTTTGTAACCTTTTAACCTGCATAGATAATATAGCTCGCATTACTACGATAACTTTCCTTCGTGCTACTCTAGATGCTAGCCCGTGGTTTGCATCCTTAAAAATCTGTTTTTTCTTTTTTTTTCATTTTTGCTGTTTTCTTGGCCATTTACTCTTTTGATGTACAGTATAATACATATGCGTCACAGTGATGCTACTGGACCAATTGCATGCCACCCGTTTAGTTTCATTGATGTGGGAATTGATGGTTATTCGCATCCATCTTTGTTATTCTACTGTGTAGCTTGATACAGACAGAAAGGGGAGTACAGTAAGAGGAACGAGGGATGGGATTGAGGTCGATTGCATCAAATGACATGGTGCTGAGGTCCTCGTTGCTGGCGTCGGGTTGTGGTGGCACCAGCGCCGCTGTGAATTTGTTGCAGATCCGGAGTTGGAGGCGCAGTGTTCCAAGTTTGTGCTACATCTCGGCTGGTGGCAGGGTTATGTTATTTGCTGCCTGTGCAGGAGTGCGAAGTAGTACTTCTGCCGCCTCTGCTGCTACTGCTGCTGCTGCTGCTAGGGGCGTTGTGAGAATGAGTGCAACACCGGTTGATGGACAGAATCCGTCTATCGTCATGAACGATGAAAATTTGACAAAATCGGTAATCCTGCGCGCGTTGTGTGAGATTGAATGAATGAAGAGCTGTGCGAGCGTTTGCTTTCAAAAATTTTCACCTCAGCAAGGAATGAAAACCGTATGGCTCGCACACCTGATCTTTTTCTTGCGTTTCTACCTGGTAGTGCATCTCCTTTCTCCTGTACATTCGACAATGAATCAGAATTGACTGTGTCGTTGACCAAATCCCGTCGGACTGTCAATAATGCTTTACTCATTTTTCTGAGATATCTCCCAACAAATCAAGAAACTGATTTGAAGTATTGAATCCCGATTCTTTATTCGTTATATGCAGCGTAATGCGGATAGATTGATGATTCTGGCATGTGACACAAATATGAGGTCTAGTCCATTTCGTATTTTTTCCGACCAGTTCCGTGGAAATTCCTTCACAATAAGCTGAGGCGATTCCACGATCATTTATATCTCTCTGTCGCTATCTCTGTCGTGTGATACATTACTCAATTTTCAAGACGCGCACTAGTCGAAATACAATCCCCTTGCCCGGTGTAGTATGTCTCCTTAGCAAGATCTCTTCTCACTTCAAATCAACCGTTGCTCTCTTTTTGCCGAACCCCGAGAGTCGAAGTAATTTCTCCTTGTAATACAGTAAGAACTGAACTTACTCCGGACTTGAAATATACATCGTCAGAAGCGCTTCGTCTTCATAGTGTCGATGTTTTGCATGTCGAATACAAATAATCTGTTAGGATTTCGGTTGCGACAGGTAATGGTGCGCATCAAGGGCAAAGTTCAAGGGGTTTTCTACCGCAACTGGACCGTGGAGACTGCAAAGCAACTGGGAGTGGATGGGTGGGTAAGAAATAACAAGGACGGGTCAGTGGAAGCTGTGTTCTCAGGAAAATCTGCTGCAGTCGATTCTCTGCTCGAGAAATGTGAAGCAGGGCCTCCGGCGGCCAAGGTGAGCAATGTTGAAGCCACTCCATACAAGGAAGATGTCCCCAAAGGATTCGAGCGGAGGCCTACAATCTGGTGAATCAACAAATCTTTTCACGATGTGACGATGAGCGATCGAAAGGAGAGGGTTGTGTAAAGGGCTCTAATCTCTACTTTCCATCACCTCCAGCGGACATTAAAATGTACTCCTTGCGAACATAATATGAAGCTTTGCTCGTGAAAAAGTGAGGGACATTTGAATTATCCTTGCCTTATCAGTTTGCTTCTCTTCTCCACATTCAGCAGATCCGTTCGAAGAAAGAGCAAAGTTGGTCGGCCTTGACCATGACGACTGGCGACTATATGTGTTTTGGGCACCATTGTTCGTGGCATAGTATATGCTCAATTGGATCTTTCCATTTCCAGCAATGGAATTACCGACACATCGTTGAGTAAACAAGATCTATGTACGTGGCCTAATTCAACAAACAGTGAAAACTTTCTCCTAATTCCTACAACTGGTACTAAATCAAAACTTCGTCATGAAGACACCCAAGATATAGTCACATTTTTGCAAATAGAATTCGATACCATGTTTCCTGGGTACAAGCATTGCCACCCACACAAATTCGTATGCGGTGTATATAAAACACTTCAGTCGAAAAATGTGATTTCGAGAAAGGTTGGGAAACTACTCAATAAATGAAATCGTGAAACTGTTAATGCTTGGCCCGCCACCTTCCCTCGTTTATATTCTAAATTCTGGACGCAGAATGTCTCTAAGTTATACTATTTTCATTCCAAACTGGATTTCCATAATGGGATTTGAGATTATTTTATATGGAGACCAGTGAGGATATTGAAATAGATCTCGGAAGGTAGAATCCTGTTACGAGTCCGTACCTAGGGGCAGGGAAGATGTCAGAATTTCACATTGAATCTTATAAATCTATATCACAAATCTGGTTTCACGTGAGTAAACATTCATTTACGTTTCAGACTGGATATTAAGTTTGTAATTTATATATTACGACCCTATGATATGCAAGTCTTACTACACTAGATACCTTTCTCACACTTTAAAGCAGATTTATTATGTTATAACTCAGATACGTATATCATGTCAATTATGCAAACTAAAAGTGTCAAACAAAGATTCATTGCCAAACACTCCCATCTTACTTATATAACACATTATTACAAGAATGTGGGAGTTTGAAACTTGTTATTTATTTTGTATAATTGATTGTGACTTTGTATGAGTTTCATTTCCCAAATATACAAGACTCTTCAGAGAATTAAACAATGATCAAAATAGTTTTTGATGTAGTAATGGTAAGTTATGACTATGGTAGACTGCAATTGCAATGGACTTTAACAAATAAATTACAACCACGGATGAATGGTCATCATTGTTATTATTCTGTTCTCAAGGTAGAAAGTGAGCCCACAATTGAAAACTGTTACATGATACTGTCTTGTTGTCGGGGCAGAGAAACTGATGGGCATGGCAATTCAACTGGTGTAGGTTAAGTACAAATTGCTTCCCTCACCAAACCTTTTACAATTATGTTCATTCGTGAGGCTACATTGGACAACAGAGAGAGGAGTTGCGTATTTTGAAAATAATCATGTGAGAGCTAGATGTGGATGTAATATTGTAAGATTTAGCTCAAAGGCAGCAGAACGTTCGCAGGAAAACACTTGAGCTTTTCAGATTAGGATTACTAGTATTTTATCGCTTATATCAAGTGTGATAAGTTTGCCCGTGGTAACAATAACCCACAACCAATTTCGCAGTAAGCCTGTATGAATTTCAAAGCTAATCCTGTATTGTGTATAGAATTATGTAGGCCCGCATCCAGGCATGGTTTTGATACCAATCTCATGAATTGAATCAGAAAATAAATCCATCAAAGCAACTCCTCTCTATCGACTTCAAAATATTAAAATCAGAAAACTGGCACTCTATACCATAGACCTGTGGGGTATTTGATTAAAGCGGTAAGGAATCTGATAAGTATTCCCCATAAAAATACAAGAATGTACCTTGCAATGGTAGGCACTCGCAACATAGACATCGACACGTTACCCAGTTCACTCAAAGAGAGACGAAACTCATAGTAGGCCGGATTACATAGTGCCCATTCACACGGACCGTGGAATGGGACAAAAAAGAAGATACTATTTGGACCATTTAAGACCTGTCCACCAGATAGTAAAGAATGTAGAAGCGAGTCCTAATCAAGAATGACCAACTTTGATAGTATGGTTGGAGTCTTTATTTATTATAGTCATTGATGCATATAATCATCCTATATGTGATGAGGTTTCTGAATTATTATATAAATCACCCTCGATCGTGGCGAGTTGAGTTTCATAATTTAATATATTGAGTTATACTCAATACAAAGATATCAACCTCTTGCTTCTTTTCCATTACGCGGGAGTTTACTCTAATATGATACAAGATGTATCATTTTCTTTAGATTTTTGTGTAACCTATAGTAGGCAGTATTTACTATACTGCCAGTGTTATCCACAATAGATGATACCCCTGATTGTCTTGTTTTTAGGGGGTTTGCCAATATAATTTGGACATTTTAGTCTCAAAAATGAATCAACTCCCATTGTGATTCTATTGGTCCTAATTCCATATTACCCGTTCGCTTCTATTCATATGAGAGTTGATAGATCTTGCCGTGGCTTTTGCTTTATCACTCGGAGCGTCCAGCTGTACACGAAAGTGAACCATGAACTCGTACATACGTTGGAACGGGTGACAAAAAATGAGCCCGAAATCCCGGTCTCTGCGAACGGGAGCCACCAGGCACAGGACCCAAAGATTCTCCCTCAGGAACAAAAGATTCGCTCTCCAGATCGGGAATCATGGAAATGAACTTTGCGCTCAATTCCGATACGTCGTAATCGGAAATAAGCGCACAGAAGCGAAGCGCGGTGGACGGCAGGTGGCTGGAGAGTGGATAAGTTAAGCGCAGAATGGGAGAGGAGGAAGAGGAAGAGGAAGACCAGCTCGAGTAAGTAAGAGAGAGAGAGGGAGAGGGAAGGAGAGCATACAGATTGCCCTGAAAACAGAGCAAGCGCTACAGGAGCCAAGATGGCGGTGTCAATGATGAGACTCCGCCATGCCCGCGATTCCGACGCTCGGGCACAGCTCTCGCATCCCGTCCATTTTGATCAGGTGAGGGAGTGGCCCGGTCTGTGTGAGTGATCGAGTGAATTCTTTCTCGCCGTTCTGTGGTCACTGGTTTGATTGTTGACATGCAATTTCGACCACATTCGATTGTTGGTTGTCGGGGCCACATTTAGTTCTTCTTTAAATTAGAGGCTGGCTACAGCGTCATTCTCACTGTCGAGTATTTGCAGCGAGTTTCATGGATTCGGAGGCTTTCACGAATTCGGATTCTCTGCTCTTTGTTGTTTGAAATTGTCTGACTTTCGTGAGAGTCCTGGCAATTCGCTGCGTGCATGTTGGTTGCGGACGCCGAGCGAACTGTTTTGAGTTCATTTGAATTTGAAGCTTTGAATTCATCGCAGGGCTTTTATATGGAGGACATTGTGAGCAATTCCGGTAAGAGTTCAGAATCCACTCGAGACAAAGTAAAATCTGTTACCGTGGAAGCAGGCTGACACATGTCACCCATCTCAGTAAGCCCGAGCAACTGGCTCCGACCATTGTTTCTAGCTTGAAAAGATGAAAGTGTGGAGACATTTTCCTGCATGTAGACTGCTTCCGCTGGGCGAACAAGTGTTTTTCTTTTTTCTCTTAGGAATGAAAATATTTCGATCTCGATCAAATGTTGAAATTCACAGCTGTTGTGAACATATTAATGTTGTAATTTATTTTTTATTTAATTTTTACTTTCTCAATCTGCATTTAGAACTGGAAATATTCAGGTTTGTTTGGCTGGTTTGTATCTAAAACTTCGTGTCATTGAACTTTGTATTCCTTCTCTTCATCCTTCCAGAACTCACGAGAAGAAAGGGTAAATCACAAGGAGGAGCTTTTCCTGGGGCCGGGAAGCCACAGCTACATTATGTATGCGCTTCTAGTGTTGTAAAACCCAAACCAGCTCCCAAAAATTTTCTTCGAGATTTTCTTGGTAAGTAAGCCCCTTCCCAAATCATATCAACAGGAGGCATATCGGAACATTCGTCCAGTTGGTTTTCCATGAAAAAGAATTCCAGCAGTTTCCGTACGCGCTATCTGTTGGCTAGAAAGTTTACTCTTAGTGTGCTAAAGGTCCACTTCGAAATATACAGAGGGAGCGGCTGCTGGAGCAACCGCAGGTGTAGTTGTTGAAACTGCTTTGTACCCAATCGACACAATCAAAACTCGGCTTCAGGTTAGTTCCATCCCCTTCAGGTTCAGTCATTCTGCCCGATGAAAAAGGATCATAAAACGGAATGACACAGTGTACTTGTCATCTTGAACGTATTGTGCCTGTTATCTGCAGATGTAGCTGTGTGCAGATTTTTTAAGATATGCCCTGTAGTATATCAACCTAGGAAGTGGACAAAACGTTATGTTGAAATGCTTACAATTGCCTCACGCAAATTCCCCAGGCAGCACGTGCTGGTGGGCAAATTAACTTCAAGGGACTGTACTCAGGTCTAGCGGGAAATATATTTGGTGTACTACCGTCAGTATTTCTTTTACTTAACTTTGTATTTTTTGCTCAATTGTACTTTTTTTGAACTTTAGTATATGTTCTAAAGGTAGTGGTAACTTCTTTCATTGGAAGCATGTGATAAAACAATGCACGTGATAAAACAATGCCAGAGTTTGTGTTTCCTTATTTTACGTATTGCAAGCACTGAATCACCGCCCCGCAAACTTCTTATAAAACTGTTGTTTGTAGGGCATCGGCTATATTTATTGGTGTGTATGAACCTGTGAAGCGCAAGTTGTTGGACATTTTTCCAGATCATCTGAGTTCTGTCGCCCATTTGGTAAGTGCGGCGAGCTGGAGTTGTCCTCTTCGTGTCTATCGATTAAGGTAAACCGCATAATATTCATGTTGAGTCAGTCTAACTGAAATTATTATGATTGAAATGCTCTGACAGACAGCAGGGGCAGTAGGAGGTGCAACAGCTTCATTAATTCGTGTCCCTACAGAGGTAAGCAGCTATGCGTATCTCGCAGAAGATGTATGATCCCATATGACATATGGATAAGTCGATCTTGTTCTGTTTCACATTGTTGATCAGAAGTTATTTTAAAAACCCGTCGGAAGTCACTTCGTAATATCTGTAGACAGCTTATGAGAGCAAGTAAAATGCACGTATCTCTCGGCATCATTTAGATTATCGAGGTACCCTCGTAACCACGCCCTGTTACGAGTACAGGTTGTGAAGCAGAGGATGCAAACAGGACAATTTGCATCAGCTCGAACTGCTGTTTCGTCTATAGTGGCGAAGGAAGGCGTGAGAGGATTGTACGCGGTACGAGATCTTCGAAAGAGTTTTCCGTCTTGTTGGACTTCTTTCATTATCTGTCAGGTTCAAGAAATCAGTGAAAAATAGTGTGGAATGATCATCAGATGCTATATTGTACCACCACTTTATCCAAGTCGGATTTACTAGATAGTGTTATAACTGTTTGTATTTATACGGGTGGATGTGTGTTTAGGGATGTGGCGCGTTCTTGTTGAGGGATCTGCCTTTCGATGCCATACAGTTCTGTATTTACGAGCAGCTGAAAATTGTATACAAGAGAACTGTGAGTCACCAATCTTGAACTCTTCCCTTCATTACTCTTCTGCCTCAAAGTTCATGAATTTTCGTCCTTTCAATCCAACGTTCATGTTTACAAGGTTTCATAATTATGCCTTATAGCAAAGCTTAAGGCTTAGTTTGGAAATTAAAGTTGTTGCTCAAAAGGCAAGGCATGTCCGTGACTGACTTAGATCGGGTATTTTGTAAATCATATCCGACCCATCAAGATTTAAACTCTGGATTTAAACTTTGTGTGTGATTCTGAAACAAGGCTCGAATTGCTCCTAACAGGTCAATAGAGACTTGTATGATGCTGAAAATGCAATCATGGGTGCCTTCTCAGGTAATTTCGAAGTCAGATAAAGACTTATTGCGCATTTCACTCTTTATAAATATACTCCTCCAAGAATGCTCTTTACTAATGGAAGTAGTGGTGTTCAGGTGCCGTGACTGGTGCAGTTACCACCCCTTTGGATGTCATTAAGACACGGTTGATGGTTCAGGTAATTCTTAGCTCATCCTCTAAATGAACATCATTGTATTTTGAAGTAATATGTTACAAACCTTATGATATTACGGTACGTTTAGTAGTCCGCAATTTTAATGTGAAAGATTTTGAAATCAAGGAATAATGAACGGAATGAGTTCCTCAGGAGACAGGTTGAGCATAAGCCGGAGATTAATACTGGTAATCACTTGCAGGGTTCTGGCGGGCACTATAAGGGAATCGCTGACTGTGTCGCAAAGATTATCAAAGAAGAAGGCGCAGGAACGTTGTTGAAGGTATGCACATTCTGGCATAACCGCAAGCTTGAGTATTCTCTACGAGCATGATGTATAGTTTGTTTCAAGGACGTGTGCTTTGAGTGCTTACTTTCAGTCAGTGATAACTAGTTTTTTATGTACACCTTGACAGGGTATCGGGCCAAGAGTGATGTGGATCGGCATTGGAGGCTCCATCTTTTTCACAGCCCTGGAAAGAACTAAACAACTTCTATCTCAAGCATCTCCGCCAAAAGTGGAGGATTTTCCTTCCGCCCGCACTGCTTAGTTTTACTCATTCTACAATTCTTTCGCTTCATTTAGGATTCAGACTCTAATCCTCCATATTTGTTTCTCCGAGGTAGATGTGAGAGTAATTCTTGTCCTATAGAGAAAGGTACTTACCGGATGATTTGTCAGTCTATTGAGGAAATAATTATTGGAAGTATGAATAAATATTTTCTTCAGGGTATCATGCCAAATTGTGATTTTGAATTAAGTCGTACTGTCTTCCTACGTACCATAGCATGTCCCACATTGGGATAAAAGAATGGTCTTTCTTTACTGCGTGTTAACGAGCTTTTCAGAAGCTCCGTTTTCAGAGTCTTTGAGATAGTACGGTAGCTTAGAAGTTGGAGAAATTCATATAATATAAGATTTCATCATTGTACCTATATTACTTTCGTTTGCATATTATTTTCTTCTCCATATTTTTGAAATATACGTAAGTAATGGTTAAATCGACAGTAGCTAACTTAAATATGCCATTTACCTTCACGACTCGAAATAGTTATTTAAATGACGCACATACTAAAAGATTTGGCAGAGTCGTCTGTGAATGTCGCTCTTCTTTCAAAACTTGAAATAATTATCTTCATAATGCGCAGTCAATAATACTTGGCACAGGAACGTTTGTAAGTCTCATACTATTTGGGTCCGAAGAAGCCTAAGCTGGTTGGTAACTTTCATGCTACTACAAGAATGTAAGAGGGTTACTCAACCCACAGAATCTGACATGTGATTTATAGATAAATGGAGTGATGAAAAGGTACAGTTTAAACTTTGACATAGAAATGCTTACAAAGCAGCTATCATATCGCTTGTGCACCGCATCATAGTAATATGCGATGAAATTGAGGACAACTAAAATTTCAGCATTGAGAGCCCACAATGAAGGTGTGTTTAATAACGATGCTCTCCGTCATTGACTACAGGATGCTTTGTTTACATACTATCGCCACTAACAAAAATTCTGATATTATCTAGACAAGCTCAATGAAAGCCATGGGGGCGTTGTCTCCTCTTCTGGGCATAGTTCGGATGATACGGGTGTACCCGCCATTCCTCTCGCCGTATCTGTCTGGAACTTCAGCGAATATTGAGTGCACCAGGGTTTTGTCGTACAAGAACCCCAAGGCTTGGCGCCTTTGGTGCAAACTGCCACCCTTGGCAAGAGTAATCATGTGGTCGACATACTTCCTCATGGCTCTGGCTCGGGCCTTCGTGGTTTTGATCCTTCCATGTCTAAGCAACTCAGTGGTCAAACCCCTCAGAAGAGCCCTGCGCTGATCAGCTGGTCTTCCCAGCCTAGAACCCTTGACTCTGTGCCTCATAGCGAACCATCTTGATCCGTTGTTCACTCCCAGAGTTAGGTTGTCGAATGTAGATTCTGCGATTTGAGCAAAACAACGATAATGTATCACCAGTCTGCACGAGAAAAATGATGTCCACTATCCCTAATTTCCTATCTCCTGACATGCCCAGCGTACTGAGCATCCTAATCGCACGTGAAAATCGGGGATATTTCAAACACTTAACATGACTGACGAACCATCCACCCTGTGGGAATACGTAAGTAGTCCGGGTCTCCAGGCTGAAGACGGACTTACAGAAATGCAAATGTGAAGCTTCTTGAGTAATTATGCGAATGAAAGGGACTAGCGGAGCACATTACAAGGGCCTACGTACGACGTTCGAATATCTTTATTCTCAGAAACAACAGAATTCTCGCTTATGTGACAGGTAGAATTTCACAACATTTGTTCCTGTACTCCGTTTATAGAATCTGTTCAATGAGCAGACGCCTCACCAAAACTTCTATCTATCGAATGAAGTGTTGCATTAAACAATGGCAGCTCATACAAGATAATCCTTTCGTCAAAGAGAATGGCTATGGCTGACTGGCGCCATTCCTCGCCACCCAAGATGGTGCTCAGGCCTTCTAGGCACTGATTCCAAGCAGATGAAGCGACAGATGAGAGCCAGAGCAGCCCTGCCAACCACAACGAAATAAAGCAGATTCTGCAGACAGAGGAGAAATGCATTCCATACGACTCAGGCCAGCACATACACCCTCAATTCGCGAGCTCAGAAACTCACCAGTGCGGAAGCCAAGAGCATTAGAAGTCCTCAATCCTTGAAACGCAGGCAATGCCCGGGCAGCCACAGCACTAACATGGGACCTCCTCCTGCTCACGACGGCGACATTCCTGCCGCTGCTGCAGCTCACGCGGACCTTGGAAGAGACCGAAACTCGCGACGAGACGCAAGCAGTGGGGAGCGCAGCACCCAGAGCTGCAAGGCAGAAGGCACCCGCCATAGCTGATCGATGGCCAAGCCAATCTCTTCCCACTGTCTCTGCTCAATCCTCTTCTCACTTGCTACTGCCTACCGCTTCTCTCCGACTGTGTGCCTCCTCAGCTGGCCCGATGGAAGGCACCCTTCTCGCAGCACAGCGGAGTAGTCGGAGGATCAGACCCATTGCGGGCACCCATTATTATGATATCCCGCCGGTATCTTATCCGGGGATTAACCCCCGCGGGCTGCCACTGTCCACATGACGATTCCCTGTGACTGCCATCTTTATCATAAGCTTAGCGAAGTGATATTGTGAATGTTTGCCAAAAAATGGGGGAAACTTCATGGAGTTTCCCCCATTTTTTGGTGGTCCATACACGACGGAAACCCAAACCGGTAACGTGGAGTTACGCCCCAATAGCATCGATGTGGAAAATATGTCATAATGCAACCAAGATGTACTAACTATCTAGCTAAAGACTTCAAAAACAATAAAAGCTCATGAATAAATATTCTCATGCGGATTTCACTAGCTATTGTTTAGTATACGCCGATGTGAACTCATTAAAAAAGAGAGTGAGTAGCATGATGTGCTATTCACTCTTGTGCTCTTGTGAATTCTTTCTCTGAAGAACATATCAAAATTGATGTGTGTAGGTCCACACGATTTTAAAACTGAAGTCGGAGAGAGATATATATGAATACTTTCATACATGAGGTGATGCAATTTCACCCATCATCTATCCAAACCGATAGTTTATCATTTAACGCCTAGCGAATAGATTTGAAATTTACTTTCTTCTTTTAATTTTATATATGAAGCAGTACTTCATCATAACTAAATCCATAGAGTTCAAATTTCTATGAATCTTAATTCAGAATAATAGTAATCTACATTAAAGTAAAAAAAAAAAGATTAATCAATTAAATGATTATTTTGACCATAAATAAGCTTACAATCAGAATTGAAATCAAATAGTATATGCAAATAATGAATGACTTGTATGACTATCCCAAATTTTCAAATCATTTTTGAACTACTTATATATCAGAAATTAAGAAGCAATTTTTTAATTAATTTAGTATATCATTTTTTGATATATTTTCAATTTTTTGAGAAATAATACAAAAAATACTTATTGTCTCTCCCGGTTTAGCATTTATCCTTATGAGTATGTTTTATTAATTTTAATTGATTTTAAGAATAATTCCAAGCTTACATACGACATATAATGTGTGAATTGATTCAGCGATAAGCAAAGTAGCTCTAATTTCACCATGAAATGCATCAAAAAATGAAAATGGAGTTTAAAACAAGTTTTTCAAATATTCAAAATGAAAGTTGACTTTTAGATATATATATACATATATGTATATATGTATGTATGAAATTTCCAAATATAATATCAAAGCTTTTTCATGATACATATGTAATGATATAATTATTTAAAAATTTATTTGAAAATTTATAAAGTGATTTTTGGGGCATATTTTCATACTTAGAAATCTGAAAATATTTAGAGTATCATACACAAAGTATCATATACTTCTTGGACAAATGTATGTAAAAATGAAGCTTCAATTAAAATCAGAAAAAATTCATTGCAAGTTATCTTTAAAATAAATCAGTTTGTAAGAACACAACGTCATGAAATTCTACAGCCAGAAATATTTTTTAATATTTTTCTACATATAATTAAAAAATTTCAAGTTTTAATTTCACTAATATTCAATCCTGATTACTAAATAATTTTTATCATTTTGATAAAATAAAAATAAAAATAAAACAAAAAAGTTAAGCTTGAGCTTATAATTATTCATTCATGTTTGATACATGAACTACACATATTAAACATGAATAATGAAAATAAATTTTTCCTAGCATTAACTTCTACTAGCTCAATATATGTAAATTTTATATTTTTAAAACTCATGTCAAAAAATAGAATCATATTTCAAATTTTTTTTAGATTTTAGTGCTCATTTTTTTTACATCAAGTATATGCATTGTCTATTTTTTCACTACCATTATCACCAATTTTAAGTAATATAAAAGATGTAATTAATTGGACCTAGTTTCATTTTATGCATAAAATCTAGATGTGGTATTTTCAAAATACTTAACATATGTTATTAAATCTAATTAAAAATATTTAATCATTTCTTACATAGACAAATTTTAAAAATTAACTAAAAGCGTACTACACAATTATCATTGCATCAACCATATCACATCTCAAAGATTCAAGATATCTAGTCAATGTATTTAAATAATATCAAAATATTTATAAAAGTATCATCAATATTTTGTAATATTACATTTTTTCATATTTTCTTAAGATTGTATTGTCTAAAATAAACCACTGAATTGCTAAATAAAATAATAGCATTGGTGAATAAAATGATACAAAGTAGTCACAGAAACTGGTGTTAGGTTGGACATTGTTATTAGAAGGTGTCATCAACAAGAGGGAAGTGTTTATACTTCTAATCAGACGTTCCATTATTTTCTAAACATTCTATAAGTGCATTGTTTGGTTGCATCACCTTCATTTGCTATTCTGCATAGTTCACTACGTTCAAGATTGATGATATTATAGCGTTCAAATAGAGATACTTATGCACATGATGGCATCATCCAAGACCTTACAATCAACTTGGATGATTCTTCTATCAAACAAAATAAAAAACAAATCAAATCACACTAAATCTTAAAGTTAGAGGTTTAGGTGAAACAATTAAAAACAAAAATTATTGCGCAGAGACTTGTCCACATGCTTTCAAACATATTTAGGATTTCAATAAGGCATTCAAAAATCATATATGATCATCAAATTAAAATCTTGCAAAATACATAGTCTTATATGCACTTCACAAGTACAACAAAAATATCAAGAATCATAACCTCATATTCTATGCAGTTCAAGATAACCGTTCATGTCAATGTGGCCAAAACCTTGGATTCATTTTAATCATCAGAAATATTTTTTCTATATTTGAATATGTGTGTCATCTTTTGTTTACTTAATGCTATGAATCAATATCAATGTATTGATTAAGGAATCATTTGATATTTCAAAGTTTGATTTTGTCGTGCTCAATTGAATCATCTAATATTTGAATATGAAATCTGGCAAAAGAATCAACATGCATCTTATTCTCAATTTTTTATTTATACTCATCTACACATGCGCAAAATGCTTGGTTGGACTAAATTAGCATCGAATAGCATGGAGAAGAGCATTATTCAATAGCGTATTGTCAAAGTCAATTTTTTTTTATTTTTTTTTAACGTTATTTTTTTCAAAATATTTGTATGGATCAATGTGTCCTAATTTAAGTTAAATCGTCGATGATTTATTAGAAATTTTGACTGAATGATTTTTTTTCATCTGCCGTGGATCTTCATGATGCAAATATTTAACAAGTTGCCGAAAATCTAAATAAAATGTATGATTTTGATGCTATTGAAAACCAAAATGTTGATGATGTTAGCATTATCAAGTTTGTACTGGAATAATAAAATCTCATGCGAAGTGCCAATAATTATGATGACAATAATGTTGTTGAGATTTCATCTTTGATGATCATAAACAAGTGAATCGAGCAATTATTTATTTGATCAACTTTTTTTCTTGAGTCATCTTTATCTACATGGCTCCAAAGTAAACTGCTCTCTAATCTCAAAAAGTCTTGTTGTCTGTTGATGCACTAATTAAAATTTGATAAACTTGAATTGATGAAACAATAAATTATACAATTAGCAGCGAAGTATTTTGCTATAGCTCAAAAATAATGAACTCTCGAGATGTACGTTTAGATAAACATATGTCACAAATCTCTCTCTCAAAGCTCTTTATTGTGATTATGATATGAATTATAACTCCAAAATTACACTTGTAACTTCAACAATTGGACATTATCATATTACTATTGTCATTGATGACAAACTATTATTGTTGGACAGATTTATTGATTACAAACTATTGATTCAAGAATTTTATGTCATTTATGTCATGATGAGATTCTTACGAGATAAAACATTGAAAAATTATTCTATGTAATCATAAAACATATTGTAGATATTATGAATAGCATTAAGATTCAATTTAAATTCAAACTATGCAAATACTGTTTCATTTCAACACTTAAAATATATGTTTCTTTCCTCTTTACAATACAAGAAGATATGCAAATCTTACTATCTTCTATTGTCACAAATATCTTTTGACCTCGTATTCCAAATTCTACACTATGTCATCTAACTATAAACTCCCAAAGTTATTCAAATTTAAGATTAGTAACATGGATATGGATGCAGTAAATACTCTTCATCAGCCTTATTTAAATCAACACCTCTCCATCCTCTATCTCTCCTTATTGCAGATTCAACATACTCTCCATCCTCTATCTCTCCTTATTGCAGATTCAACATACTCTGAAGAATTCAAGAAAATAGACAAATTGTTGTTCTAAGTCAAAGTCAACTCAATTTGTCATAGACGCAATTTTCCATGTATTTTGATAATTTCCATCTATCTACTAGTATCGCCTACTCTTCCTAACTTGTAACCTAATCATGATAAATTTGAAACAAAGAATATACTCAAAAATAATATTGAAGTTATAAATATCTTGAAATCAATTGTTGGTTTGATGGAAAAATAAGTTTCATAAAAATTAACTTATGAGAGAGCTAAAGTTTAGCCAATGTGGTGTTGATAAGTCAAAAGTTTAGATATGCAAAAAAATGGTTGCATTTTAGAAACAAAATATTTACAAATATCTATAATTCATTGAAATCAAAGTAGATTTTAATCAAGATAGACATAAACTTAACTAACAATGAACTATCTATAATTGTCACATCCATGCAGTATAATTTATATTCACCTCAAAATAGGTCCAAATACAAAATTCAAACATCAAGCATTTTAAAAAATTGACACATCATATACATAATTATCACTAAGTCTACATCCACAAATATACAATTTTTTTCTAACAAACATTAAGCATGTGATCTAGAAATCTAGAAATTGCTCTCATATATAATAACAGTCTAACACTAGTCCTTCATACTAGATTAATACTATAGTGACTTTACAAAATTTAAACTTATCTTAAACCCTTCAGCATTTTTCATTCATAATTTTATTTTTTTACTTTTAA